TCCTACTCCTCCGTCGATTTCGCTCCTTTATCCTCGAGGACGACGCCATCCACTATAGTAGTAAGCTTTGCTATAGTACGTGGTTTAATATAAGTAAGGCGTCGGTGCTAGATCTCGGAGGAAGCTTTTGATTCCTATGGTTTCACTAATCTCCTTTATACTAGCTATATAGTATATGCTTGTAGTGGTGGTAGAGCCTCACCTAGTTCGTTAAAGATCTAGAGATTGAATTGATCCTATAGGTTTATATAGACGATAGGTCTATCATTTAGATCCCGTATATAATTCGTACGTTAGCACTAAAGCCCGCCTTTCTTCTTTAGCATCGTATACGACACGAGATTTATATGGAAACTAGGTGAGTATAGAGTATCACTCAATATAATCTCTATCCTTCCTTTAACTAGGTGTCTCCTAATTAGGCGAACCTTACCTCTACCTAGCACCTACGTGGTACTATCTCTAGTTGTCAAATCTATAATATCTACTATAAAGTCGATAAATAGATCTCGATTATTATAAACGTGCGTGCTTGATCCGGTATTAAGAATCTATCGATTATAGAGAGAGAGATCACCGGCCTTTACTATAGATAGTATATACTTACTAATCTATATAGCTTCACCTAGCGACTTACCTTAGTGCTAGTAGTGGTGCTAGCCGTGGTGCTAGCTTTAGTAGGTGGTTACGAAACTGACTTAGTTTGCATACTTAGTCTACTTAGGCTTAGCATTAGCTACTACCTTATCAACCCATTTCTTCTAGCCTAGGTCCTTCTCTAGCACCTTCTTTACTCTCTCTAGCTTCTCTTTATATAGGATGAAGCCTTCTAGTCGGGTGGCTTCGTTTATAATCTAGTAAGTGGTAACCTTATACTTTAAACCAGATCTCCTATATAGACAATCTCTCTTTTTAAAAGGAAGCTTCTCTTACCTTTCTTACTTTGCTTCCTAGTGCCCTTACTAGGTTGAAAAGGCGCCTTTCGGAGGAGTGGTCGAGGTGATAGTCTTAACACCTATCTCACGGTTTAGTACGCGAAACGATTCGAGAAGATCTCGAGTATCATACGCCTTTTTATCTATAATAATCTCCTAGTATTTACCTTACCACTAGATCAGTAGTACTTCTTTCATAGCGTATAGGAAGTCCCTATTAGCATCTCTATCGTTAATACTAAGGCTAATCGCCTGCTCCCTTAGCGAATTCCACTTTTAAAGCTATTACTCGATATCTCCTATCGGCTTCTATATCGTAAACACCTTCTAGTTCATTCGAATCTCCTCCTTATATACGGTCGATCTTACGAAACGAGACTTTAGATATATAAGTCTATCATACGGAGTACGATATTCTATTAGAGCGAGGTGGTGCATTAGGTTAAGATACGTGAGGATATATTCATTTATATCACTTAGTCCCTTTGCTTATTTCTCCCACCGTGCGTTCTTCACTTTATACACGTCTATTCGATCTCGCTAGACCCTTCGATTCCTTTCGTCACCCTCCTTAGGGTATTCCGGTTCCACTAGTTCCTTTAGGGTATCGGGTCGTTCGGTTAATAGGGTATCCGGGTTATAGTGGTCCTAGACGTTCTTTTGCATTATATATAACTACACCTTTACAAACTAGGTGAGCTATTACGGTGCATCCTTCAGTTTTTCGCCCTTTATAGCGGAGAGGATTAATGCTGCCTCCATTACTAGATGCTTCAATGTTTTAAACAATGAATCAAGGGATGATAGCTTGGTATAGCTTTAGGGTTGCAAGACAACTTCTAGCTGCGTGCTAGATACTATATACCGATATAGTAGTCTTATTCAGTGCGAACTGGGCTCATAACTGTCGGTGGATTCCGTATTGTAAAATGTAGGGTCCAATCAATGGTATTCAACTCTCTGTATTTCTGTATCGGCTCTCTACACAATTTATATGGAGCCTCGATTACATAACATAAATTACGAAAACATGTAGGATTAATAAATCCTCCGGTATACCGGCGTAACTGCGCCGACAGTATTTACGTGCCTGGGTGCCTGAATCTCAGAACCTCATTGGGTTGATTCTGATTTGACCGCTACAAGAATAGTCGGCCGCCTATGCGGCCTTGTCAAGTCGTTTTTTTAGTAGTCTTTTATGGTAGTCTTTTCAGATGTCTTTTCAGATGTCTTTTTTGGTGGTATTGTCAGATTATTCTCAGTTATTCTTCTCAGTTAGTCTTTTTGGATGTCTAGATATTTCCCTCCCTTCTCGGTTTGTTAAGGAGGGGGAGCAGAAAAAAAGCGGTAAGAGGCTTAATTCGTAGAACGGACTCTTCTGTGTAATCGTGCCAAGCGCCCAACACACATTCTCTGTGTTGGTGCGCCCCACTCAACGATAATTCCCACACAACGATAATTCCCACACAACGATAATTTTAATGGGATGAATTGCATTTAAACCACTATTTACATATAACCACTAGTAGTATCTATATACCAATTTGCACCATTACTATCTCTTGCCGCCATTGAAGCTTCATGCTTAGCTTCTACTAAATCCCTTGCTTCCTGAGCTCGCCGTTGAGCTTCCAATTCCTTGGCATGCTTTGCCTGTATGCGCTTCAACTTCTTAGAATCAGCATCTCTCCTGTCAACTATCTTCCTATTTGCACATATAGGTGATAGGACATTACCTTTAGTCCCAAGAAGCGATTTCCCATTTCTTGGGGTATTTGCAATTGAACTGGACGTACGGGCCTTCTTTAATTCAGCCCGTAGTATAGCATTTTCTTAGGATAAAAGTGAAGTTGCATCTATACTTCGTTGGATATACCGTTTCACCCTCTGAGAGTAGTTTTCCATTTGCTTAACGTCATCAATAAGCTTAGCATTAAGCCTATTAACCCGCTCAATTGTATCTAGCGGCGAATTAGTGACTGAGCTTGCGAATTCCGGAGGGGGAGAGGGAGTGAGAATCCTAAGGGGGACCCTTCAGATTTAAGAGCTCTTTAACGTAGAGGACCGAGAATAAGCTCTGGATCTAGGGGGTAAATACCCCTAGATTTAAATGAAGATCGGATGATTCTTTAGGTGAAAGCTTGCTCTCGGACACCCTAAATTATCCTAAAAAAATCCCGCTTCTTGCTTGCGCTTCCACCCCACATTATAGCTTCATTATTCGCTATACGAAAATGATGCTTTAAGCATTGGAATGGCTGGCTATCTAGCGGTTAGCAGAGATGGGTTGTATAGGGTAAAAAAAAGACTAGGATAATGAAATGCTGGTTGCAAAATTCAATAAAATTGATCGTTATATGGGATCTATGATTATCTATTAAAAGCAGCCTTGGCCTGCCTTTTTTAACCAGAGATTTTGTAGCTTCATGAAAAGAACAAAGCCATTTAAAAGCCGTATTATTATCAATCCAGCCATTAGGCGTAGGCTTAATCCGGAAATCGGGGGTAGTGATATTTTTATACCACTCCTCTATATACAAAGAGCCCTTAGGTAGAAACTAAGGTAGTATAACCCAACCATCGGCAGATATACATTCAATGCTAGTAATAGACTCTTTTTGACCACTAGTAGGATTGGTATAATTAGCATTAGGTGTAAGCACCTTTTGCCGCTTTCCTTAGCCAATTTGGTAGCCGGTTTCATCCCAATTAAAGATCTTATAGGGTAGAAATTGATGCTTTTTAAAGAGCGTACGAAGGCTGTTAAACCAAAGTAACATTGGGCCGTATTACTCGCTATCAAGCCTCACTTTTTCAGCCATTTTTAGGTTGATATAGGGTATCTCAGGGGGTAGTCTTTACATATAGCAGTATACCCAGTTAGGGCCCACCACCTAATCGCTGCCAGCCCGGCGTAGAATTGAATTTGCAGCCTTTTCAATGAGAGAGGGGGATATACCCATATTGCTAATATGTAGGGTATCGATCTAGGTTTTCAATGCTCTCTCCTAAATTGGGTTTAATGTCTTTTTTAGGCTGGCAGCAGTGGTTTTACTTCCGCGCCCGTGAATACGGGCGCGAAGCCTTTAGTATGGAACGCTGAATTCCCGCGCCAACTGGGCGATATTAGTGTTATTATTCAGATGAAAGGCATTGGTAGCTTTTAAAATTTGATCTTCGAGATTTTCAATTTGTTCCGACATCGTGGTATGGTATAAAATGCTAACAAAATTGATGCCAAAGTGGAAAATTATCGTTGTGTGGGAATTATCGTTGAGTGGGGCGCACCAACACAGAGAATGTGTGTTGGGCGCTTGGCACGATTATAACCTTTTGATGATTTGATGATTTAGCAGATTCATACCATTGGAACCAGAGACAGGCTTGGCATCACATCGCATTGGCGACTTATAATGCGTCGTCGGAGAATTTTCGATATTCGTGACCGTGCACCAGATGTGGACATCTTTCAATGCTACTCCGTGATCCAGTGCCGAACGCCCCTGATTCAAGGGTAAAACGCAAAATAAAACGCCCGTGTCTCAGTTTTGGCCGGGTGAAACACGCCTCCTGCATAGCTCCCTTTTCCAACGTGGTAGCGAGCTAATCAATACGCGACCGATGCGCTCATTCGTCCCACGGGAAATAAGCATCTCACAAGGGCTCGATGTTAGCGCTGAGACGCCCCTCAAATTCCAAAACAGAATCTAGTTGCGAGTGTTGGGCTCGTTTCTGGTGTTTCGTTGGTTCAGTCCCAGACTAAGACCTGTTGGCGCGTACCTATAGCGGATTTAGGATGGAGGTGTTGGAATTAATTTGACTGTCTCATTTACATGGTTATTTGACTGCTCCACTCAATTCATTTGCTTTTCATTAATATACTGGGCTATACCCTGATGTCTCGCTATTTGTTTTATTTCCCTTCATTTCTGCTGGGCTTCTGGAAGGCCCATCTCTTCTTTTTATCTGCGATTTTGTTTTAATATCATTCTCTAACATATTTTTTTGGCTTTGTACACTCATTTTCTATCGCATGTCGGCTGGATTCCAATATACTAGTAAAAAATGGCAAGGGGTGTGACAGCAGTTCAGTCTCGCACGCAACCTAAGGAGACTATCTCCTTTCCTGTTTTGACCTATACCGATGCCTTGCCACGGAATGACCTTCACTCTCTTGAGGCCTCACAGTATCCAGGTCAGCCCGCCATGATTGGACAGTGGGATTTCAGCCAGCCCTCTACGGGAGATGGGTGGTTCAGAAAGCCAACCCCGGACCAAGGTGCAACTTTCGACTTTCGCATAACCGCGCCACCAGATGAAGCCATTCAAAATACTCGATCAGGCCGTACCCAAACCGAGGAACACATGATTGGCATTGCGCTGGGCAGTCCTGGCATGTTAAACAAAGACGAGCCACTACCGCCACCTAGATTTGATACATCCATCTTTGCAGAAAGAGATTCAGCGCATAAGCCCAGCAAGTGGAAGAAGATTGGCGGATTCTTCAAGGCAAAGAATGCGCTTACATCGCTTCCAGATAGCGCACAAGAAAGCGCGGTCAAGCCACAAAGCAACAACTATAAACTACCGGAGAAACCACAGAAAGCAAGACTGAGAAAGAACTCGACGGAGGAGTGGCCGAAAATCGAGATCGATCCCAACAACATGCCTGGTCGAAGCGATCAACCTTCCCAGCGGAGTCGGAATTATTCACTCGGCAGCAAGCCGCCCAAGTATGAACCAAGTACCCAGGGTCTCTTACTGAGTGTCGACATCCCAGACGTTCAGATGGAGCGGTACAGTGTCATGTTCAGCAATGTCGTCAACAAGAACCAAAAACCCTCACTGCTGGCCAGAAGGGCCAAGACATTGGACAATCTTCGCGTGCCAGATGCAAATGTATGGACTTTTATCGATCAGAAACCGATATGGGACTAACCGATGCACTCATATAGGGCTTCCTAAAATCACCCGCACCACCCCCAATGCCCCAACGTCGGGCAACATCACCAGCGCAATCAAGCTTCACCTTATTCCCAGCTTCACAGCCTTCGAAAGCGGCCCAGATACTCGGCACACAGAATTTCTCCCGTGGACCGAGCCCACTGGTGAGAGCAAACACACTTCCTGCCGATAGCCCATCGAAGATGCCTGTGCTACAGCTCCGTCATGGGTCAAATATGGACAGTGTCTCATCATTCGAGTCACCCGTCATTCCGAAGCTTTTCTCTGAGCGTTCCAATACCCCGCAGTCCTCCAGTAGTTATGACAAGCCTCTTCCTGCTATCAAGCCGGAACCACAGACTACATCTACTCAATCACAGAAGATTGCTCGGGCAGAAAGGAAAACACCATCCCCACAGAAGACCCGGCCACAACAGAGCGTCCAAGGGCACAATACTGTTGCAACAAAGCCGGTTGCTCAGCCCTGGATTCATCCACAGCCGAGAAAGGATTCGCTGCCGCGAGCCATAGAAAAACAGCCTCGGGATACTTCACCACAAAACAAGACCGCACCACATCAGCCCAATAAGACATCGAATCACCACAGAACCACCGAGTCAGTGCGACCGCGTCTTACAGTTCAAACTGAAGACCGACCCCAACCACCCGCAAAGGACATGCTATCTAGCAGTCCATCTCACAGCTCTCCTTCAGCATTAAACCCGACCCAGAACAAGATTGACCGAATCATGTCCCCATCATCGGCCTCAACTGGTCCTAGATCCGGCGTATCGCCAGCAGATTCCACGCGCATGCCATTCGCGGATGCAGTTGAGACCCTTGATACCGCTGAACAGGAGCCCGAGCCCGAGCCTGAGCTTGCGCCCGAGCCTCGACGTCCTATCCCCAAGGTTGAGATCTCAATGGCACGCACTGTCTCTGTCTCGCGGGCAAAGCGGCAGGTTCTGGTTCCCATCGGCATGAGGATCGATCATTTGAACCCCGAGGAGCGGGTTGTGCAGAGAAGACCTCTGACACCGCAGATTACAGATGCTCACCGGGGGCATCGACCTGGTGTCTCGCAGGAGTTGCGGATAGAGTGTCTGTGACATTCTACTGCGCCATTCTTTTCTTCTTTTCTTAGCTTTTTTTTTCTTTTCATACCTGATTCCCCTTTGCCACTTCTCATTCTATCATACTTTGTCTATACATATCTTTTGTTTTCTACATATGGTCTTCATACTTTTTACAACATCCTAATCCATGCCTTGGATGGCTCATATTATTCATGGTCCGCGTTTTATTTTTAGTTCACTACATCTCGCATGCACTTACTTGTTGTAGTAAGTGTAGACTAAACAGAGCACCTAGGCCAATCATTGTAAAATTTCGCTCAATCACAGCTCCAAATGACGAATTTACATCAACTCAATTCCATTTTGTTGACTCTTCATCTATCTTGGCACTGCCCATGTCCCTTTCGGGTATGAGTCACGGAGACAATAGATACACATTTAAATAGAACAAACAAAACCATTACATCTTTTGCCAGAGAATCGACAAAATGGACATCCCAGAACTGGCCTCCGCCTATACACCGGTGCAATTAACCAAGTATTTGAACTACATCGCTCTACCAGATCAATATGCACAATATATCAACGAGCCAGACACATTCCCCAAAACCGAAGAAGCATTGAAAGATCTCTTCCGGTGTCAGATCACTCGATTTCCATATGACAACCTGACGTGCCATTATTCCGCTACCCAACTAGCGGAGATCCAACCCGGCAAAATCTACACCAAAGTCATCGGATGCGACGACACAACCCCCTCCTGTCGAGGAGGCTACTGTTTGGAAGTCAGCATTTTCTTCCATCACGTGCTGCGCGGCCTAGGATTCTCAGTATACATGACTGGCGTTCGGAATCGAGAGCGGATAGATGGTATACCACAAGGCGAATTCAAGGGCTGGTAAGAGTATCATCCAAGGCCACAAAACCAGTGGCTAGAAATTACGTTACCACGAGAGCACAACGACTAAACGGTGAAAAAAGGACACACATCGTCAACATCGTCCGTCTACCTAGCGGCGCAGAGTACCATTTGGACGCAGCGTTCGGTGGAGACGGGCCAACAAGTCCTCTGCCGCTGATCTCGGGACAGGTAACGAAGAACCTGGGATCACAAGAAGTGAGATTAATTTACGACAATATGCCGAAGCAGACGCGCAAAGGGCAGAAGGTCTGGATATATCAATATCGCAATGCTGCGGACAAGCCGTGGAATTCCTTCTATTCGTTTGCGGAACTGGAGTTTTTCCAGGATGATTTCGAAGTGATAAATCGATTCACCAGTTGGGACGCTGTGCAAAAACGCAGTTTCGTCGTGGTCAAGTTCATTCGAAATGGGGAGACGGCGGGATTGCCTTTGTTGGAGGGAGAGGTGTTGGAGAAAACGGATGATATCTTTGTTGCTGGGAAGATTATGATGGTTAACAACGTTGTCAAGTTGAATATGGGTGGGAGGACGAGGGTCATTGATTCATTTGAAACTCAGGAGGGGAGGTTTGAAGCGCTGAAGAAGTGGTTCTCTATTTATTTGTGATGACTGGGGATCCATGCATGTATGTATTTACGTAAATTTATCGGTCAATATGTAGTTTGAGAATCTGCTTTTAGTCCTTGGTAGGAACGCTGGACTCCGCCACAATCTGCGTCTCGATGCCAGTATCCAAATTAACTTCGACATTGGAGACGGTCCACGCCATCCCGACGTACGAGTCACTGATGACTCTGATATTGACCCGAGCTGTACTGGTGCTCGTAGACTCCGCGAGAATGCCTTCGGGGAATTTAATGTTGGAGCGAACAGTCAATAGGCCGCCCTTGTTATCGTTGGCAGGCCCTCCGCGACTGGAACCAGCGCCGTAATTGCCCTTGCCCTTGCCATTGCCGTTACCGTTGCGCTTAGATACTGGTGGCCAAGACACACGCTTCAGGCCAAGTAATTCACCATCCATGCCATTGGGCAGAGCACTGCAAATAATCAAGAAGAAGCCCTCCGTCTGTGGCTTGGGGAATCGAGGGGTGTAGACCTTGCATTCAGGTGTTATGGGCTGGTTACGCCGTGTCAGAGACACAGCAACACCCTTAGCAGAAACACTAGCAACCGAGACCGACAGATGAGGCAGCTGGGACGTAATGCGAGTAAAGTTGAATGGAAGGTTTAATTTCTTGACCAGAGCAGCAACTGCACCAGCAGGCTGTGACGAGAGCGATACAAGAGTTCCCGGGAGACCACTGGGTGGCTTTTCGGTCGGAACGCCGGGCAGAATCGACAACGGGTGGTCTTCAGGCCAGCGTGCCGACTTGATGCACTGGAGAAGAGTCATGAGCATCTGACACGCAGGAATATACCCCAGTTCAGCCATAACATCGATTGAGGCCTGGATGATACGAATGCCTTGATCGAGCACAGATGTCTGATCGCCAACATAATCAGTGATGGGAAGATCGATCCGCGACATGTAGGCCTGCAGGAGGAGGAACGCCTTGGTATGTGGGTCCCAGAGGGGCGCATCGCCCATGCAGTCAATAGACAGCGGCAAGTTCTGGGCCAACTCAGCATTTATCAGATCTTCATTATGTCTGACAGGCAGCTCGTCGAATTCGGTTGCGGAACACATCCAGCTCAAGACATCTTGGAAAGATGGGTCACGCTTGGCATGGGAGACGAGGAATCGGATCGTCTTGTGGGATAGGTAGTAGTAACTCATGATCTTGCCGAAGGGAGTAGAGTCGACCTCCCCGGTGGCCGAGTCCACGAGAACACAGGACGATTCTGCGAGATCATTGAGCGACTTTCCAACCAATTCAACCATGAAATCTTGAGCTGTGGCCTGAGCTGCCATGGTGTTTTGTTCTTCTGCAGAGATCTCGAGGCCGTAGTATGAGGGATTCTTGTGCAATCGACGGAAGAAGAATGTCCAAGTCAAGTAGTCCAATGCATCTTGTTGCGTCCCAATAGTTCCAGCAGATACCTCAGCGCCAAGATGGTTGTCGAGAACCTTGTGCAAGGTCGACTCGACAGGGAAACCGGTGTGGAGGAAGTGCTTGTAGAAAGCCTTCTTTGAGTCCTGGGTGAAGATGCGCGCAATACCGGAGGTGTCGAACTGTGGGCGACCGGCACGACCGAGCATTTGCAGAACATCAGTCAAGTCCATGTCCCGATAACCTTCGATCTTTGCATCGAAGAACTGTGTGCCTTTGACCACCACAAGATGCGCTGGAAGGTTGACACCCCATGCAAGAGTACTAGTCGCCACAAGAACTTGGATCTTGTTGTTGGCAAAGAGTTCTTCTGCCAGCTGACGATCGGATTCAACCAAACCAGCATGATGCAAACCAATACCAAAGTTGAGGGCTTCTCTTAAGGCATCATCTTTCACTCGCGCAAGGTTCAACTCCAGATCATCTTCAGACATTCGCACAAATCGACGAGGATTGTCCTCCATACCGCAGTAATTGATCAAATCCTTAGCAGTCAGGCGAGTTTGTCGGCGAGAAGCAACGAAGACAATGACTGGCTTCTCTGGTGAGTGGTTCTTGATCGCGAGGAAAGTTGGGCGATTCATCGACTGCATCAAGGGGCAGAAACCACGCTGTTCAGGGAACCCATCGATGAAAATCTCGAGGGGAACCGGGCGAACTGAATGACGGAAGTTATACAGACCATCTTTGACACCAAGCCAGTTGGCCAGATCAGAAGCATTGGCACAGGCAGTGGACATGCCCATCAGTCGAACGGATCCTTTTGATTGGGAAGCGATATAGTTCATTCGGGAAACAATGATTTCCAAAATGGGACCTCGATCACCGCCAAGCAAGTGAATTTCGTCAATGATCACCAGGCTCACTTTCCTGACGTAGTCACGGGTCTGCCAACTACGTGAGATACCGTCCCATTTCTCAGGTGTGGTGATAATGATATCGGCATCCCGAATCGTACGTGTGTCAGGTGTATTGTCACCGGTCAACTCAACAAGCTTCAAACCCATCTGCCTGGTGAGGCGCTTACGCCAATCTTGAACTCGTTCACGAACCAAGGCCTTCATGGGTGCAATGTAGACAACCTTGGAGCCGGGCTTCTCACGGAAGGCCCACCACATTGCCAGCTCAGCTGCAACAGTCTTTCCACTACCAGTGGGAGAACCAAGGAGAACGTTGGCTGGTGTGTGGTAAAGGAGATGGAAGATCTGTGTTTGCATAGGGTTGAAGAATTGGAAGCGTTGCCCATACACTTCCTCGAGAATGGGATTCTTAAGAGCCGATATAGGAAGTGGCTGGAGATTGAGTAGATCCGTATACACGCTTTCAGTGTCCGGGCGAATGAGGTGCTGGAAAGAAACCGGGCTAACGGTTTCAGCACCCAGCCAGCGATCAGATATCACACGAATGTAGATTTGGCTGGGAAGGGGATCAGAAAGCGGAATAGTGAAGTTGAGCTCATGATCAGCATAAAGCTTCTTCCGGCTTAGGATGAAGTACTCGTGATGATAGATTTCAGATGTTTCCGAGTTCTCGACCCATACCCAGAAGGATTCGGATGCTCCGTGGTGACGATCATTCCAGGTGAACTCAGGGTAGATGGAAAGGCGAATACGAAGCACGTCGCGGTTAAGGGGAGCAATCTCGGTCTCAACACTCAGAGTTGGGAAATTGTCCAGGAGCTTGGACAATGTGTTGCCCATGCGGTGGTTATGAACAAGTTGACCAATCTCCGCAGGCTCCATTTCTTTCATCGACTCGATGGAAGTAGTTGGAAGCTTTTCGTCAAGGTTACGTAGGATCGGCTGGGGCAAGTCGAACTGACGGAAGGGGTGATCAAAGGGCCAGATCTGTTTCTCAATGGACTTGCAAAGAGACAACAGAACCTGACATTGATAGCCCCAGCGACGATTCAACGCAATCATGAAAAGAGCACGGCAGATACGTGCCGCGTTTTGGGCAACATATCCAGTATCGGAGGCTAAAGCAAAGTCTTCAATCTTGGCGCGAGAGATATAGGCTTGCAACAAGAGGTTTGTCTTTGCGTGTGGCGTGTCGTTTCCTCCGGCAACTTCAGTCTGTGCAACTTCATCGCGCAGTCGCTGAAGCTCTTTCGACTCGCTGTCTCTAGATTGGATGTTGTCGAATTCTCCACTCATACTGATCATCTTGAGTACATCTGCCTCACCAGATCGGGGACGCATCATGTCGTTGAAAATCTCGACACTGGTTTGCAATACATAGTATTGACTCGCAATGCGACCAACATCCTTGGCTTTGAGATCTTCAGTCTTATCGTTGAAGATGATCATCTGACTCTTTTGTAGCACCCGTGCTGCTTGTAAGATCAACTGCCTCCGCCTTTGGACCAGCATTGGGTCATCGCGTAACTCGGCAAACTCGATTCCATAGTTTCTCGGCTCACGTTTCATGCGCACATAGAGGTACGAGTAGCCAAGCCATTGCACAGCCTCTGCAACAGATGTGACTGTTCCGAGCGAGATTTCGGCATTTAAGTTATCCACAAGTCGACTAGAGAAGCGTGACTCAATAGGCTGCTGCGCCGTCACAGCAGATAGGTAGTGGCTCAACTTGTCATGAGTAGTGCAGATAAATCCAATACCGGTGTCCTGGAATTGTGGACGACCTGCACGACCAAAGATTTGCATGACATCGAGAATGCTCAGGTCAATGAATTTACCCTCTTGGGGGTTATACAACTGAGTACCTTTGATAACAACCGCGGCTGCAGGAAGGTTGACACCCCAGGCCAAGGTGGCAGTACAGCAAAGTACCTTGATTAGACCTTCTGAGAACATTCGCTCCATCAGATTTCGGTCGCTTCGAGTCATTCCGGCATGATGCGTTCCAAATCCGTTAGCGAAAAGGTCACGCAGTTCACGCGCACGCGCGTGCTTCATGTCACGAAGGGCATTGGAATAGTTTTCGTGATCATGGCAGCTGAATAAATCCTCTCGGCCCTCCTCCGCGGCTAGCTGCATAAGCATCCTGGCAGTCATTACGGTATCTTTGCGCGAGTGAACGAAAACCATGACTTGGTGGCCTCTCTCCATCATGTCGCGAACCTTCTCATAGGCGACGGAGTCAATGTTGTCACGGGATTGTTTGGAGCCGGGCTTTCCTTTGACACCGATGAAGTGTTGCTCAAGAGGTACGGGTCGGAAAGATTGATCAAAGAAGAACATGCCGGCCATTTTGTTCACCTTCAAGAAGTCCGCCACATCAGTATAGTTCGGAAGGGTGGCCGATAGACCAACGATACGAATCAAGGACTGGGTGCTTTCGACCTGACGTTGGGTTCGAGCGACCAAGGATTCGATTACCGCTCCACGCTCATCGTGCAACATGTGGACTTCGTCAATAATGAGGAGGCGGACCTTTTGAACAAGCTCTGTGTCTCCAGTGCTTTTCCGCGTTACGACATCCCATTTCTCAGGGGTAGTAACGATGACCTGGGTATCAACGATCTCCCGCTTGGTCAACTGCATATCACCAGTCAGTTCGCGGACCTTGATCCCCAGCCAGGCTAAACGTTTCCCGAGTTTATCCGTCACCTCAGCAGCCAAAGCCTTCATGGGAGCAACATAGACAATCTTAAAGTCGTCAACTTGGACAGTGAATTCGGTCGCTTCTGGGTTTTCCAACGGATTGGGAGATGTGTTCTTTCCCACAGCATTGAGAACAGTCAACATGGCGGCATCCGTTTTACCCGCGCCAGTCGGCGCGCAAATAAGCATATTCTCGTTGGTTTTGTATGCAACATCGTAGAGCAAGCTTTGCATACGATTAAGGGCTTTGTAACCCTTGAAGGTACCCCGACAAAGGCCATCCATTTCAGCGATCTCCACCAGTTTCCGGCCCTTTCCAAGTGTTCCGACCTTCGATGCTGGGATCGCGAATTCAGTGTACTTCGGTTCCTCGATCTGCTCGCTACCCAGAGGCAGCCCATATTTCTTCCCACTAGCAGAAAGTGTATTGCCAGAGGTGTGTTGCTTGAAAACATGCGGGTAGGAGGGCTCCGATCGGGTTTGGGCCGGCATCAACGCTGCACTCTTATGTTCGAGGTCGCGCTGTTGCAGAGCATGTTCTCTCTCTGCTCGTGTTTGGAGTCTACCTGCCATGAGCCCATCTGTCTGGGATTCCAAGCGGGGTCCCTTGTCCGACAGAATTTCTCCTCGGTGTGCGATCAGCTCAATCACCAGATCCAGGTCATCGAATCCAACAACCTCGGCCAAAGACATTTGTAGCTCCTCGTCGTTGCTGTCAGCAGCCAGCGTGGCGATGACTTGCTGAGCAAGCTCTGTCGCATCCATAGTTGAGTTTCGCATAGCCAAATCCTGGCACTTGTCTTCTAGCCAGAACCGATTGTAAGAGGACCCTGGTGCAAGATGAAGTCCGTCGAGTCCATCCAAGTCGTCCAGGTCGTCGGAAGTTTCATCGTCCGAGCTGATGATATCCCACACATCATCATTTGTTCCCGGGGACGACCAGTCGTCGTCAATGTCCAGATCAATATCGCTTCCATAGCTGATTGAGTCATGAGGAAGGTCTTGGGGGAGCTTCAGATCAGCAATAGCCTGGCGCATGGTTGCTAGTTGTGACAGCCATTGCGACTCGGTAGCTGCGATGCTGTCCATGTTGACCTAATGATCAAGAAGTGATGAGCCGAGCAACAAAGAACGTAGGGAATGAGGGGATAAGCTGAGCCAAAAGTAGTTATAGGGCAGGCCCGCAGGGCTCAATCGGTCGCATGACAAGAGCGGTGTAATGCTCGTGCCTCAGGCCACAATGCAGAGGGTCCAGTGCATCATTGTTATCGGCAACTCACGAGCCTGTTTTAGGCTTAACACTTGTCATTCTGCTTCGCCACTTCAGTTGATCATACAGCTGACCTCCTGCGATAAAGAAGTTGCCTGGTTCTCTGAAAGCAGAGCATTTCCTTGTTAAGCACCTACTACGACCCAACGCCCCACTACCCCCGACACCTACTTGCCTCCTTGTCCTTGTGCGGACAACCACGCTGTCGCCATGAAGATTCTTTATATGGGCGTATGTTTCATTGCGGCTTGGATTTGATTTAGTATAAGCTTAGATACGGTACTCACCTATAAACCTTGCAGGTTTTCCGGAACGACACTCAGCCAGCTCTGCAGCTATGCGGGGAAAAGGACCTCAGCAGGTAGTTTCACATGCGCGCCCTACAAATGACTGGAACGTTTCGCTAATTATTACTAGCTTTTCGCGCTTCACTCGTCAGAAGTATGCCCACCCATCCTCTCTCGGTCCGACACGGCTAGGTCACTAACCGCCAAGCGCTTAACAGCTACGATGAATTCCTGATGCTCTTCAACCGAACGGTCGCCGAGAAGACGAAGCCAGGCCAACGACAGGATATTGAGGAGAAGGCCTACACATTCCATGCCTATGGACGGACAGAGGGTGTTGCCGGTGTTATTGTAACAGATGGGGACTACCCTGCCCTAGTGGCCCATCAGCTCTTGGGCAAGATTGTGGACGAGTTCCTTGCCAAACACCCACGCACTGCCTTCTCCGACCCCTCTTTGCGCGAGAATGCGTGCCCCCTGCCGCAGCTCAAGGAATATATCGTCAAGTACCAGGACCCCGGCCAGGCCGACAGCATCATGAAGATCCAGCAGGAGCTTGACGAAACCAAGATCGTCCTTCACAAGACGGTATGCTGTTATGCTTGTATGAGCTCATTATACATGCTAACTGTTTCTAGATCGAAAGTGTTCTGGAGCGCGGTGAGAAGATCGATTCCCTGGTTCAGAAGAGTGATGGGCTCTCAGCTCAGAGCAAGATGTTCTATACCCAGGTATGCAAATCGAATGCTGCCCTCCACCGAATGTACTAACAAAACCGAATCCAGGCCAAGAAGCAAAACTCTTGCTGTGTTGTCATGTGAATCGGGATTAGTGGTAGATGGTGTATTCCATTATGACTCCTTGTTCTTGGATTTAACTTACTGGTGTAATCAGACGCTGAAACGATGCATTTCTTTGCTATTGTATTTGCTCTCATTTTTCGATGCCTATATATTTGTACCAAGTTATCTCAATTAGGAGGATGTTTTTAACCGTTTTATTGTTCTGTAAAGTTTTTTATAGATCTCGGGAGGATCTTATGAACTGGGAGTGTTTCCGAGCAAGTTGTAATAAATGGGCCACTAGAAGCTATTACAAGGGCAAAAGGTCATGGAATATGAAAAACAACAAACATACATATATCGCGATCAGGTATAGCTGAGCCTAATACTCTGGAAGCACGGCAGGGCTGGCGGGCCCACCAAAATAGATAAGGATCTATATGAAATGTTACTTAGATCACTACAGCTTACCTTGGAACTCCTTTTTAGGAATTCCTCTCTTAGCCGCTTTCATATGGGTATGTAACGGAATTGTTGCAAGCTTTGCTTTTTTTTCGAATATGTTCTAGCAAAATGCCTAGAAAGCTCATATTGCCCCCACCGTTCCTAGTTCGAGCGTACACTAGCCCTCATCTTCAGCATGTTCCTTGTCCAGATATTCGCTATACACAATGTAGCCACGAACAGGTGTCGGATGCATCAGAGCTTTGAGCTGTCCCTTGGGCTAAAGCGCGATGAGATAGTCCGCATGCATCTTGTCTCGCTTACTCTTTTGCTCGTCCTTTTCGTCCTGAAGCCTCTCCTCCTCTTGAGAAGCGTGTCCACCGGCGGCCTTTTCCACAGCAGCGGCATCCCAACCCATAAAAAGAGTATGGGTCTTCGGACCCATGGCCTTCTTGTGGTGCAGCCCTGCGATATTGCTCGCTGCCTTCATCATTTCCCCAGAATACACGTCGCTACCTCGCTCAAGGGGAATGCCAACGATAAAGGTGGTGTTCTTAGGATTGGGTTTGCCAAAAGACAAGAAGTACTTTGCCATAACGAAGTCAGGTAGGGTCGAGAGCTGCGCGGGAGTACGTTGGTCCAGCCATTCCACATGAATTTGGTTTTGCAGCTCCAGAATGTGGCCAGGGACACGGTCGCACTTTCCTTCTTGGAGGACCTTCTTCATCAATCCAGTCTCATTGCCACATAATTCCTTCTCTTCGAACTGCACCCTATAGTGGTTCAACTGGCACCGGACGAAACTGCAGCCGTGGCCGGGGGCTGATCCGTATCGTGGGTCGCGGCTTCTGAGGCGTCATCAGGCACGCGACGCCGTTTACGTGTGGTCTTCCTTCTTTTTCGGGGTGGTGCTTGTCTTCTGTTGATCTGCGGTGCTGGTTTCGTTGCTGGTTTCGCCGAGTTTGCTCCAGTGGAAATCGCAACCAATGCATCCCTGAATACCTTCTGCCCTTCGCGTGACAGTTTTGGTAAAAACATGCTTCGAACGCGATAACCTTCGATTCGATCCATCGAGCCGGGCTTTGCTTGGAAGCGGCCAAGTCCGTAGACAAAGCCGTCCCGGCAAATATCTTTGTAATCGTCCGCAGACATGGCGAGCATTTACAAAAGTATATCACGATTAGCAAACTGGCTTTCCCCGGGTCGTATCGAAACGACAGTTGGACATGTTCTTGTGTCAACGCATCTCCAGTGGGTCACTTAGACTGATTCAGGTCTGATAGAATAGGTTATGTATAGAAGGGGATGGGGAACATACCTGACAAGGATGACGATTGATAGTAGGGAGGGGTGAAGGAGAGGCAGAGGAAGCGTGTAGAGATACGGACATCTGGAGATATTCATCTTTCCATGTGTGTTGTGGCTTCCTCTTTACAATTTGTGTGTCGCGCCTTCCTTTTCGAAACACCATAACTTCTGAACCACCATCCTATTTCTAGTCATCGCTTCCATCTAATACATTCGTCGATAGAGGAGACCTATTCGATGCCCTTTAGAAGGGGATCTAGGGCAACTGCATACGCTGTGTAAAGAGATAGTTTCATGGATGCGTATATATTGAAAATTATATATCTTAATATCTTGATGCCTGATATATAAACCAGAAACCAGGATGAAAACTTCTTGGATGGCACCAAACGTTACAAAACCCCTTCCTTCCTGTCTAAGGCAAATATTCCTACGAGTCGAAAGCTCGCGGTCCGTTGTATAGCAACATTGGAAGCACCTGGGCATGAAGAGCTCCCGAATGTTACAGGTGATTGGTGGATTTGGCACAGCCTAGCTTAATTAGGTTAGCTTTGCGGTGACCCACATTGGACCAACCTTAAAAGTGTGCCAAATATTTATTCTTGGGGTCTCCGCTTTCGACTTTTCATTCTCGTATTCTTTCCGAAACTCCTGCACTCTTCTCTGGAACGTCACAATGAAGATTATCATCATTGGCGCTGGGATCGCCGGATGTGCAGCTTACCTGGAGCTGCAAAAGCATCTCCCGCGGCCTACCAAATCCGATGAATCCCATGAGATCACTATCTACGAGGCATATAATACAAACCCGAGCATCACACCTGATGAAAGAACAGAGGAACATACGCATTCATCGACGCTACTCGTGGGGGGCGGACTAGGTGTTGCCCCCAATGGTTTGAACGTACTGAAACGCCTCGACGAAGAGCTGTTGAAGGACGTTGTCCGCAGGGGATACGTTACGGCAATTTCCAACATGAAAAACAAAAATGGCTGGTCCCTTTTTTCGATGAACACTTTTTCTTCGGACAACAACAGCAACAAAAATAACAACAGAAAACCCCACATGGTTGCGACTAGTCGCCACTCGCTCTGGACTGCTTTGCGAGGCCGAATTCCAGACCACCATATCATCCACAAAAGAATAACCCAAGTTATTGCCCGACCTGATGGAAGGAATTTGATTCACTTTGCCGACAACAGTCCTCCAGTGGAGGCTGATCTGGTTATCGGCGCGGACGGGGTCCGAGGTACTGCTAAGCGGGCACTCTTCCCGAATGCCAAAGAGGATCCATATCCCCCGAACTACGAGTAAGTGAACACAGAAAATCCTTAATCCGATTATTGAATCCATTCTGTGTGGCCTCATAATTAACTGTGCGACAGAGGCCTCGTCGGGGTTGGGGGCTTTATCCCTGCCGCAGATGTAAAAGATCTCGTCGATCCGGGATCCATGAATTTTGTCTTTGGTGGAAACGGGTTCTTCGGATATTTCTTTTCAGAAAGCTCAGTGTCTGCTACTAACCGGGACTCGCCTTATCACGTGTCTGAACCAGGAGACTCCCTTGCTTGGTGGTCAACCTACGAGATCGAAAGATGTCCTGATCGCAAAACCCTCGACATGGTCGACGTGACTAGGCAACTGCGTGAGAGACATGCTAATTGGAAGGAGCCTGTTGTGAAAAAGATAATTCAATCCCTTCGGGTTGAAAACATGTATCCAACATGGACTTCACCTGCACTTCCGACGTGGGAGCGAGATGGTGTCGTTCTCGTAGGAGATGCAGCACATGCGCTACCTCCAAGCTCTGGTCAAGGTTCCTCGCAAGCATTGGAGGATGTTGAAGCTTTTGCTTTGCTTTTGGCTCATTATCTTCACAAGGGCGATACACATCGGGACGAGGTAATACCAACGGCCCAGAAGAATGCGATCAATGCAGCCGCTTCACAGTATGTGAATTTGCGTCAGCCACACGTCAACGAAATTTTGGAATTTGCACAAAAGACCCAGAACAGCAAGCGTGAAATGGGCATATTCAAAGAGTATTCTATGTATGCTGTGATGAAAATAATGGGTGAGAGCTTCTTATGACGTCCAGTAGTGGTGTTGACTAACAGCTGCCACAGGACTCTTCCCTGGTTTTATGACCAACCGAATTCGCGCGGTAACGGAGTATAACATTGCAGATCATGTGGCGCGAGTAATTGCCAGTGATACTTGAAGGCAACCATGGCCATCTCCGTGGCTTGCACTGGGATAAGCAGAACAGCATGGCAATGTAGGTTGGAGGCAAGGGCTCGTCTATCCCAGAAGCTCGTTCAACACAAGCTTTTGGACTCCATATTTCAGCAACTGTTCAATACATTGATCACACATGAAAGGCTATCTTTCGATACAAATGTCTCCTTGGGATGCTGGTTACTATGGCAATCCATGCCGTGCACAATGAAACAAGTACGTTCGATCCATATCGGGTCTTTCCAGTTCTAAAGGCAGTCGGTATTTCTTTCCTAGATAGGGACGCACCGCCGATCTCCAGCGCCCGGGCAATAAACGAGTATTTCATGTGTATCTGTTCCTTTCGCCAAAAGCATATTGGCGCATGATAAGAGAAATCCGTTCATCGCAGCCCAGTATGATATTATCGACTTCGGGACTTTCAGCCAGACATGTCAGCAGGAAAAAGATTCCTTTTCGAGCACGCCCAATGACTTTGCAAATGGTGCACGATATGCACACTGACCTGGTTCAATTCAATCTAAACCCCATTTCAATTCTCCGTTAGATTCGGATTTCTATATGAACTATGCCATCTGCCCGATAAACACAGACACTCCAAGTGGAAATTAGGTTCGACATTTCGCGACGCGAGAATTGAGCACCTCAACCCCACTCCCGCCACTTTTGGTTGTTTGGAGGTCAAGGCGGGCTTATCTACGGTCTTAACATTGGCGTGCAACTAGTTCTGCCCCGAGTTCCTAGAACAGATGAGCGATTTCAAGCAAGCAACACCGGGATAGCGAATCGGACCCGCAGAATAGGGGAAATATCAACTGCTGCCAAGTGAAGCGTGTCAGCTAAGCTTAAACAATATCTCTGGGCTCTCAACATGATTGGCTACGATTGCCCATATCAAGGTTCTAAGAAATACAGAAAGTCTTATCTTCACCTTGCCGTCTGATCGCATCTAAAGAAACCTCCTGGGTACGCCACAGGCTACCGAGCAATAATCTGGCTCAGTGCATTGCTTATCATAGACGGGATGCAAGTCAACGGGTATCTGGGCTGGACTTTCATATAAGTTGCACTCGCTGTTGATAAGTTTTCTTGCCTAGTGCGTTGGTGTAAAATCCAAAAACATGACCGCAATGGACTCAGACGTCGAGAAGAAAGCAGCCACTACCGTGGAGCCAGCTGAAAGTCTCCCTTCAGCTCATGATGATTTGCAGGTCGGTGAAATCAACCCGCTGAAGCGGAATCTGAAGAACCGCCATATGCAGATGATCGCTGTTGGTATGTGTCCTTTGGCAGTTCTTCCTTTTCTTCTGATACTAATTCCAGCAAGGTGGCGCTATTGGAGCTGGCCTTTTCGTTAGTACGGGGTCTGCTCTCCGCGAGGGCGGGCCTGGAGCTTTGTTACTATGCTACTTGATCGTTGGAGGAATGCTTCTTCTTACAATCCAGGCCCTGGGCGAATTGGCCGTACTATATCCCGTGAACGGAGCCTTTTTCACATACTGCGTCCGGTTTATTAGTCCAGCCTGGTGCGTTTTCCGTGTTCATGTATTAGATCCATGGACAACTAAAACTGACTACTCATTTTATAATAGGGGATTCGCTGTCGGCTGGGACTACGCTATTGGATGGCTCATCATTCTTCCCTTCGAACTCACAGCCGCGAGTTTAACAATTCAGTACTGGAGTGAAAGCTTGAACAGTGGAATTTGGGTGGCAGTCTTTCTGGTCGCTCTAACTGCAATCCAGTTCTTTGGGGTTCGAGGCTACGGAGAAGGTAACACACCATTCATATCTCTTTCAAAATACATTGATACTAACGTCAGCCTATAGTCGAATTTGTGCTAGGAATGATCAAGGTCACTGCTGTAATTGGCTTCATTATCCTCGGAATTGTGATCGATTGCGGTGGAGCCCCAAAAGGGGGTTACATAGGAGCTCGTTACTGGAATGATCCTGGTGCATTCACAGACTTCAAGGGGTTCTGTTCGGTCTTTGTGACAGCAGCCTTTGCCTTCGGTGGCACAGAAATGGCTGGCCTTGCTGCTGCAGAGGCAGCAAACCCTGCGAAGTCTATCCCCAAAGCATCCAAGCAGGTTTTCTGGCGCATCATGATCTTCTATGTCCTGGGTACCTTTATAGTTGGCCTGATTGTGCCTTCCAACGCCGACTGGCTTCTTGGGGCATCTGGCGCCAATACAAAGGCTTCTCCATTTGTCGTATCAATCAAGAATGCCGGTATCTCTGGGTTGCCCTCTGTCATGAATGCAATCATTACTATTTCGGTCATTAGTGTCGCCAACTCCGCGACATATGGCTCAAGCCGCACTATCCAGGCTCTCGCTTCACGTGGAATGGCACCCAGATTTATGGCATTTATTGACAAGGGGGGTCGGCCTCTTTACTGTATTATTCTGCAGATTGCTTTTGGTTTGCTCGCCTTTATCAATGAGGCACCATCTGGAAGCACTATTTTTGACTGGCTTCTTGCCTTGTCTGGTATCTCTGACTTCTTCATCTGGGGAAGCATCTGCCTTGCCCATATCCGCTTCCGTTCCGCTTGGTCACACAACGGGCGCACCGTACAGGAGCTTACCTATTCCGCCCCCTTCGGTGTGGTTGGGAGCTATATCGGTCTAGGTCTCAACATCTTGTGTCTCATCGCGGAATTTTATGTCTCTGTGGCTTCAAAAGATGCAGAGACGTTTTTCATGAACTATCTTGCTGCGCCACTTGTGATACTACTTTTCGCCTTCTGGCTTCTTTACACCAGGTGGAATAAAGACCCCAATCTCGACCGTGGAGGCTGGTTCATCCCAATTGGGAAGTTGGACATTGACAGCTTTATAAGGGACTCTGCTCTCGATGTGGACCTTCCACCAAGAGTCGAATATCCCACTTGGGGTGCTTGGTTCAAAGCTGCTCCTATGCGTATAGTTCGCTCATTGTTTTGAGAGAATGAAAGCGGTTTATATAGCTCGCAATTGAAATTGAAGTTCTTTTAACGAGGTGAAGCCAGCGCTTTATATATCCCAAGTCTGAAAGTAGACCGTGCAGACTGTCGTATGTAGCTTTCCATATATATGTATCACTATGAACTAGATTTCAGGCCGCGGCCGCGATTTTCCCGATCGAGGTGCCGCCGCTTTATGAGGGCCAAGAAGTCTCAGGAGGCAACCTGAACACCCTGCGGATTGTGGAAGATGTCCTTTGGATCTAAGTCTTCCTTGAGCTCTTCCAATCTTGGAAGGTTGCCACGCCAGTACGCACGTTGGGCATCTGGCATCTTAGGGTCTGGACATCCGAGATAGGCGTGTCCCGCACTCTCTGGCACTGCCTGAGCCAGAATATCATAAAGACCATTGGTAAAGTCATATGTGGTCTTTGAGATCGGACCAAGCGGGTTGACTACGAATATTTGGACCCAGAAAAGCACATCGCGGTGACCATAGGCTGTGGCATCTTTGGGCACGGCGTTGATAGCTCCACCCTCCAGGCTGAGGGTGACAAACCAGGCCAAAGTGCCAGCATTGGTTTTGTGGATGTAATCGAAGAAGTCGTCGATAGCGGAGTCAGAAACTAGCGTGCTGGGGGTGAATCCGAGTGACTTGGCGTAAAACCATGTCGGAGAGTCTCCGACCAGTTTCAGAATGGTATCTTCCAGTCCATGCCCGATCATCCCCAGCCAATCCGTCAGAACTAGCACAGTGCCAGGCTCGCTGGTAGGAAATTTCTTCTCCAGGTCGAGCTTGTCGTACTCCGCTTTTGAGCCGAAGAAAATACCTTCGAGAATGATCTGGTCGTCCACGATGACCATGTTGGAGTAAAACTTCCAGGTAAGGTTCTCCTGGGCAATATATGCTTGCCAATCTTTGACAAGTTTCGCCTTCGCGGCAGGAGTTCCCAGATTGAACGTGAACGAATATTGAACGGCCAGGCCAGGCGCCTCCTCCGTGCGCACTTTGAACTCTGTAACGATGCCGAAGCTAGCAGCAGCGCCTTTGATGGCGAAGAAAACATCCTGGTTCTGAGTATCTGATGCCCGTATAATACTCGAGTTCGCCAAAACCACCTCGACTTCCTCCACATGGTCAAGCGCCAGACCCCACTGGCGCGCTGTCGGGCCCAAACCCCCCACCGTCAGGTGGCCACCTGTCCGAATGGAAGGACAAATACCGTGTGCCATTGCTCTTTTGCCCGCATTGTAAAGCTCGGTGTCGAGGTTGCCTAGGGTTGTTCCGGGACCGATAGTTGCAATGAATGTTGACTCGTCCATGGAGAATTGCGAGAAGTGCTTCATATCGATTACGATGGCACCATTTTGTCCACCAAGGCCTAGAACCAAGTACGAATTAGTCGGCTAAATGCTTGGGCAGCTGAACTACCATCATCAACAGTCATACCAAAATTGCCAAAACTATGGCCTCCACTGCGAGCCTGCACCTTGTAGTCATAGTCAGAGGCACATTTAACTACAGCAGCTACTTCATCCGCTGATTGAGGAAACGTGACTGCCACCGGGGTGACCGGGATATTCAAGTTGTACGGCTCAACCGCAGTAGCCTGGTAAAGAAGCGCATCTTGGAACGCGACATGAGCGGCAACGCCCCCGACGGCGGATGTCAGACAGTCACGTCCAGCGGCAATGCTGGTGGTATTGCCCATAATGAAAAGGCCGAGCAACAGGCGTGGTACGTGAGAAATACCAAAGAAAAAATCGACAATCCCCCGCGCAACTGGGCTGGAAGGCCCCTTTTATGTTGTCAGCCAGAATGGGTCATCTCTCCACCCCCGTACAGAGTAAGTTTTTTTTCCATCTTAATCCTGCCGATCAGTTCGCGCTAGTGATGTATCGAGTATTTAATAGTAGTACATACATAGTACGGAGTAGATGCATCCCAAAGCGTAACTGAAAAATTAGCTGAGGCTTAGCTGAACCACATTGACAGAACCTATCGGATGGGGTGGTTATGGATGCATGGCTTGGCTTAGAAGCCACCTTTGAACTGATTTTGTAAACCCATATGGGATAAATAGCCTGAACATGCTCATCTTACTCCGTACGAATTATGTACCCTCATTTCAGCTTTTGATCCGCAATCTGGATTCCCCACCGTTCAACATATATTTACTGTGGGCCACCTAAGATTAGAAAAGGACAATTCTCTAGGGCTGTGATGCTGAACTAGGGGCAGGCGGGCCGGGTCGCAATGATTATGATTATGTAATACTACTCAGGGGCATCGCCACCGGGGCACGTGTCCACGTGTGTGATCAAAAATGGTTAAGGGATGAGCACTAAAACAAATCCATCAAGCCCTGAAATCCGATAGGTATGCATAGAAAATCCTGACAGCAATATGCAATACAATGTACTCCGTATGCTATCAGTGATATGTAACTCACTAAAATGACAAAAACGAGAAGTTCAACATGCTGAAAAACAATAATATGCACTAACCTTGGAAGGTTTATGTGGGATCCACCTTCCCCCGAGGTATTTTACCCTGTACAATCCATGTACTACTAGTAGTATTCAATCTTCAATGTTGGTAGTTATTCGACAAAGTACAAGTTGCAGCCTTGTCTAACCGAGCAAGTGGAATTGTTGTGTACGAGGCCATATCTAATCTATTGTTTTTGTCCATGGGGAACGTTGTGCGAACTAGAAAGGAGCACATAATCTATACCATAAATATTGTTAAAAGTCAAACGACTCACCAGAGCACCTATTTCCGAGAGAACGCAGGTAGTTGAACTCATGAAGGACCTTCCATAGACACCTGCAGTCTCACATTGGGAAAACGCCATCCCAGTCATCTTCAGTCTTTTAGTTTCTCGTCCTGTCTCCCACGCATAGCGATGCTCCGACAATTGCACTGAGTGTCAACAGAAATGGCGTACTTGCTTCGGTCACAGCGCCAAGTCCTACAGACCACGACGCTGGATCAATAAACAAGGGAGTGAGCAAAGGCTCGGTGCTGTTATACACAACAGATATCACGTCAAGGTATTCGATGAGTTTGGTTGCAAGACGTGATCGATGGAGGCATCACCGTTTTATACACTCCGGAAATCGACTAATGAAAACACAATTGTTGCAATTTACCATTGTACGAGTAAACGATATAATCTAAGGTCAGTATAGAGAGATCTAATCTGCCCACTTCTAGAAATAATGATCTGCGCCAGATTCAATCCCCTGCCAATTTATATCCCGAAGCTAAAACCTGATTGCATATCATGCCTGCTTCTTCGTTCATAAAAGCGCCTCAGGTCGATCCGGAAAACTATTTCCACCAATACATGTACTTGCATCTATAATCCCGGAGTCATGGATGGAGAACGCATTAATCATTCAAATGCCGACAATATAGAGACCACGACCCTGGCCAGGAATTACAATATGGACGGGTCAGGGCCGTATTTTCGAGGCTGGCTGGGCCATGCATATTGGAATTTACGGCATTGGTAACGCATAATTTGGCCACGGAAAGTTCAATGCTGCAGCTCTTCAACCTCGTGGCCACAAAATTGTACCCACAGCTAACTGTAGGTCACCTGCACATGTGAATTAGCTCTCAAATTGGTGTGGTCCTCGGATCTAGTGGCCGTTTCCTTCCCTTACCCCTTTCATATTTTAACTATTGTCACTTCACATCAATCAAAAGAAGCAAAATGATCATCACTCACTTACAACAGAACTAGCCTACCGCCAAATTGCGGGCCTATTCGTGCAGGGTCGCGTTGGGTTACCCCCGTACAAAGGATCTCAGAAGACAAAAAACTAACAGAGCATAGTGGAACCAAGGCACCATCCAATACTGCTAACAAAATGTGCGACGCGTAGATGCGGAACTCCGGTTGTATTGACGTACCGCTATTCCTCTGGTTTTTGAATTCAAATATGCATATATCGGTGTAAAACGGAGATACATAACCTATCAGGTATTTTCTTTTTGTTATTATACCATTATAGAGTATTTCTTCCTGTGGATGGCCAAAAAGAAACATTTTATACTACATTAGGTTGATAAGTGGCGTCGATTCCTAATGATTCCTAATGATTCCTAATGATTCCTAATGATTCCTAACGCATTTGGAGAACTTCATTTAGAGTACGGAGTATTCTCAGCCCAGCTGCCTACGTAGCTGCATGTAGGCTTGGGAGGATTAGACAATTAAAGTTCAGCTCCACCTAGGTAGTGACATGACCTCGGCCGGTAATCAACAACATTCGTGTGAACGTGTATACTAGCTTTCTAAAAAGCAACTCGGGCTCATATCCAAGTACACTTCGTCGCCCGTAATCAAATGCAAGGCTTCCAGGGCTGCGGGCTACTGCAAGCCATCGCAGAATTGCCGTGAATCTTAGCTGAGACCAGAGGCCGTGAACATGTGAATATAGTATTTAGAGAGTTCAAATTGTCTTGGCCGTTGAGGAAATGCAAGTCGTATATTCGAGGCAGATCATATTTGACTATAAAACTCTTGAGGCTGAAACTCGGCACCTAAGGGCTGCAGGTGGTTACACACATCCAAGATGCTAACTTTGGAATGTTGTACGGATCTCAGATCGGAACTGAGTTCAAACCTTCCAAGGTTCCTTATTCGTAGATCGATGGATGGCCGCTTTGGCGACCCGTGCGCCACGGTAACGCGGGTCGGGGCGAGCAATGACGATCTTATAGAGTGTCCAAACCGAGGGAAAACCTACTAGAAAACCTACGGAGTACGGAGTAACGGTTTCTTATTTAGTTCCTTATTTATTTTGAACAATTCATTATCTAATATATTGAATACAACGTTTTCCACCACTAGGTCATAACAAACCCAAGATACTCGAAGGGGTCATACTCGGCCCCCTAAAACTCGTCGGAAATAACATCCTGACGCTCCACTTGCCATCCAAAGAGACATAACAAGTCTAGTCCCGCTCAGCTTCCTTTTATTTATACAACAAGGGATGCATCACAATATCATTCCCCAGCAAACCCCCGACATCTATGTAACCACCTTGCAATGAAGGAGCTTTATTTTGAATTGGTGGTCTGGGGAAGAACAGGCTTTGCGGCAGGCGGACTGAGCCAGAAAACAGGATAACGGCGTTGGAGGTTGTTCACGATCAGAGCCACCATCAGGATCATAGTCGACGAAAGTAAGACAACTGGCAGATAGTACCAAGATAGTGCCCAAACAGCCTCGTCCACTGCTGGAAGGAGAGCTGTGGCACCGGCTGGAGGGTGAGTTGTCTCGGTGACCTGCATAACAACAATGGCAACAGCGGACGAAAGGGAAGCGGCGAGCCAGCGCAAAGAGTTGAACCGTTCTTCATTGGGCATTAAGCTGAAGAGTTTCGTGATGCAGATGCCGACCAGAGCGCTCAAAAAATGACCACCGATCAGTGCACGTGGTTGTGCTAGAGGGCTTTCAACAGCACCATATACGAGAACTGCCGATGCTCCCTACTTATGGATGAGTAACTGAGACAAGCGCATAGGAAAAAAAAGGGAGACGTACATAAGAAGCAATGATACCCGGCACGCCACGTTCAATGAAGTAGGAAGAGTAATTGAATATACCCTGCACCACACATAGACCACAGAATGCGGCTATGAACGACCAGAAGTGGACGAGATATTTCGCGGGAGGCTTTGGTGCATTCTCACGATAGCCAAGCCAGTGGCTGACAGACCGAGGGAGGCGAGCCAAGAACTCTTTCTCAGAGATCATTATTAGACTTTGGGGAATGAAAATGACAAAGAATCAGAGTTTGGAAGTAAGATAGAATGTAAAATTGAAAATTATTCAAGTAGAAAATGAACAAGGGGTCATGTGGTGTACATTTCTCTGTTCGAAGGGGCATTATAAGGGCCAGAAGATCACCACAGGAGACTCAGTCCGGACCCCGGCAAACTCCTAGGGCTAGGGATCTGACTAGGTGACCGGGATTTGGAAACAAATGACTCTTTTCCAAATCCCGTAATACTGAAGTGACAGAATTGGAAGACCCGACGGCTACCTCCGACCCTTCGACTAATGCACGGGCGGGCCCATGAAAATTATTTCCGCGGGCCGAATTGGGAATATGACAGGGGACCCTCGTAGTTTGCTGGCACCAGGGGAAATATTAGCGCCTTGGCATGCAGTAATCGACCAACGTTATCAATCTATATCTTCGCTCGAAAGAAAGTATGTGGAAAAGCGAGGGCTTACGCATGTCCTAGGCATACAATGCAACGTGCTACACGGCTGGAACGCAACTTGCCATCGTCTTCATGTTCATTCGTTTCGTCTCACCGATGTCTCTATAAGAGGTACCGTGTATACTTTGTCTTGTTCACTTGATACGGGGTTTCATGTTTTCCCTTCAACATCGGTAGAGGTCAGCTCACTGTCTGTGATTAAAAATGCCTCTCTTACTGGCTTCCGATGCCTAAGAAGATACACGCAGTTAGGGAGATTGTGTTCATGTTTGGAACCGCATTGACAGATTAAGATAGTCTGTGGCAGCGGCAAATTTCAGCAGTTATGTCAATGCAATTATACTGAGAAAAATTAAATTACTATCGCTAACACACGGAAGTTACCTTCTTCATTAGAAACCGTACGCTCCAGTTGAAAGCAGATCGTCGATATCCTTGGAACAGCGAGATGACTGCTTACTAGTGGTCGTTGTCCCTTGCTCAATTCACAACACGCGACAGGCAATGGAATATGCGTCCCGACTGCCTGAACTTTTTAAAAGACTTTCTTCGACTCTTTGCATCGTAATTTGGAGAAACCTCGTACTGCTGTCGGCTGGAAGGGTCTGGTTCATGATGCTGACATTGACGGGTCATACAACATTAACAGTGGACTCCACATTTCCCGTCAGCTTTACTCGAGCTTGACCGATATAGGTGTCTGAGTTGCCAGTAAGATGCTGGATACCATCTCCCCACAGTATCTGCCGAAATTTATTTCCCTCGAGGCAATTGGTACTCGCACCACTGAATATCAATTGCATCGAGAGCTGGCTTCTGGTACAAAAATTGGACATCCGGCTGTGGTGGTGTCACCATCGCTGCTGTCCAGGATTCCTCCAAACCTCATAGATTTTTCAGGGTCACAAAACAAAGCATGGCAGCTGTGACTCGTACCACTGCGAATGAACATGAATTCCATATTATACGAGGTAGAAATGAGGGCCCGAACTATGGAAAAGAGCACATCAGCCGTGTGAAGCAGGCGCTGAAGCTAAAAGGCGAGCGGGAGAATATCATGGTGCATTGTTCGCATAGTAACTTGGAGAAAAACCATCGAAACCAGGCAGTTGTGGCTACGAATGTGGCTGGTCAGGTTGCAAGTGGAGAGACTGCAGTCGCTGGTGTGATGATCGAGAGCAATCTCAATGAAGGCAATTTAAAGGTGCCTCCACAAGGGGAGAGTGAGCTTCACCCTGGGGTCAGTATCACCGATGCCTGCATTGAGTGGGAGACAACTGTGGATGTTTTGCAAATCCTGAGAAATTGCTGTTTCGGTATAACTAGACAATTTGGGCCCAAGGCCCCAGCTATCGAGTGCGCCGGAAAAGAACCTTGTTCGTTTGGATAAGCAGATCACGAAGATTGGTGCTGTTAAGTTGGTGTGATTTTTAGGTGTTGTAGATCCTTGATATTTCCTGATTGTCATTCCTTTTTTTCCCCATTCAACGTTCTGCTTGGCCCAGTGTCTTGTGGGAATGCCCAGTGAGAGATAAAATCCACATTTTTCGACGCCTAAATTATTATCACTAAGCGTTGGCTCGTAGTTGTTGAGAGTTTGGACATAATAGAAGAATCACAAAATGGGATAAAAGAAGTTGTGGACTGAAAGCACTGTCTATTCGTAGGCCGTATAAACAACTCGTGAGATATCACCAACTGTCCGGTCGGGAATGGCGCCACCACTTGGGCTATGTCCACCACACAATTCGAGGCTGGCGAGCATAATAACTAAGGATTAGCCAAAGGGAAATTTTTCATTAAAAAACCCCTTAGTTTCGGATCGAAGAACACGCGGGTGCATTGTCCCTGTTCCGGTAGGTCATCCGGTAGGCTATCAACAGATAGCCTATAGCCTACCCCCGGATAGTGTATCCACCATGACGTCGGAAACCCCATAGGCTATACGGAATTAACTGTTCCATGTGAGCTGATGTGACACGTGTACTACCTGATCCGACCATCCTATATAAACCCCAAGGGATTGTGCGAGTCTTACATCATCACAACCAGACAAAATCCTATTTCCAAACATTCCGAACATTCCGTTCAAAACAATCAAATTCCAATATGCAGGAACCAACCTACGACTCCAGGTAAGTCAAGCACCAAACCAAGTTGCCGAATGGAATTTAATTGAACACATAGCCGCCCGATGCCCTCGCTCGAGGTCGCCTACTCGTACAAGCTGGTCGGCATCCCGAACAAGACTATCGTCAGCCTGCGCGTCGAATTCCCACCCAACGGATCAACCCCCCGCATCGTCACGGGGGCGCGAACGTGGGCGCATATGTCCTCAAAGGGACGCTGCTCAATAAGATGAATGACGATCCTATGAAAACCATCGAAGAGGGCGGAAGCTGGTTTGAAGCACCGGGGTGCCATCATCGCATCAGCGATAACGCTAGCAAGACCGAGCCGGCGACGCTCATTGCTACCATGATCACGGATACTGAAGCCTTTGAGAGGGATGGAATGGGGGCTCTCCTCCAGATTGACGAGGAGTACCGGAAATGAGAATAGCGGAAGATTGAAGCAAGTGATTTTACGCCATCAAAGCATGAAGATAAACATAATCAGCGATTCAAACCCTATGGGATGTTATCATTAAAGGGTAATCCTCCCCCGTAGGATCTATTGTAAAATAAAAGAACCCATTTCAGTTTGACCAGGAGCATCCGCATCAAAAAAGGCACAGAAGTCAAAATGGGAGTCGGGTAACATGTCCAATGCAGGGAATGCAGGTGAAGTTGGATCCGGAAGGGACAGGTCAACGACATCCAAACTAGCGGGGGGATCCTTTGCGAGAGATAACAATTCTCGGGCGATAATTCCAATCTCACGGTAAGTCCGTTTTCCCAGCGTCCAGTGCTCACTTAGACGCTTCAAAGTACCCATAGTTAAACGAATCTTCTCGCGGCTTTGGGCTCGCCGATCCCCAGAAAAGACAAACCTGCAAGCCGATAAATGTGCAATGGCGACATTGGCAATCATGCACATGATGAATGGAGAATGGTTCTTCATATTAGTTGGTAGAGTCAAAAGTTCATCAATGCTATTGATAGCCTGTGTGCATTTGACAGTATGCAGATCACGTTCCTTTGCGTTGTTGCATTTTAGTTGTTCCGACGGAGGCAATGGAGCGCAGCGCGACACGGATTCAATTGCACTGTGAGTCAACGCTGACAGTGGCCGATGAATTTCAACAGTGTATCTAGATTTAGGTTAGACAAATGGATAAGAGCCAATGACGTGGCAGATCTCACGTGTGCATAATGAAGAACGCTTTGAACATAACTTCATCAAATGATCCATCGGGGCGAATTAATTGCCTCTTTTCCGGAGAAAGAAGAGAGCACCATGCTTGAACACTAGTATCAGAGCTAGCAGCCATCGTAGTGTATAATCGATCATCTGCAGTGTTGCCCGGAGACAAGGCCCGATCAATCCCGTGGGTCAAGCCAATAAGCTCCGCATAGGAGGAAAAATCAGTTTCGTCTTCGCCAAGGAATTCCCTTTTCTCGTAATCTTCTAGGGATCGTGGGGATGGGATGACCTAGCAAGAAGGTCAGCTTAACCCTGTTAAACCGAATAAAGCAATCGGCCTACCCCTCTTTCATATTGTTCCTCTTCACAAGGAAGGTCGGTAGTGATTTCAATGCCACTTGTTCGAAACGGGTACGTATGGGTAGATCCTGCGGTCATCAGAAATGTAACTTCGGGGTAATAATCATGTTTAGGGGGCATACCGGCAATGTGGGCATCGGTGATATAGATCACCCACCAAGTGCGGCGCCAACTTTCTTCTAGCACAGCATCAGCTTCTGCGTAGTTTTGGGCGAATTCCTTTTTGTTCATCCCAAGGGCTACTGCCATGCGAATTGTTTGGTCAAGGAGCTCAACACCACTTTCCGTTTCATTGCACCAGTATACAGCGATGGAATAAAGCAAGAGAGCCTGAACGTCAAACGGTGTAAGAGGCCGTATTGATGACCGAATTTCGACCACTGAGTCCCGAGCACGCTGAGCCCATGATTCCAATAATTGAGAGGGACACGAAACATCGAAAATTGATCCGACATAACACATTACTTGAAGGAGAGGTTGAATTTTCGCTTCGTTGAGACGAGTTTTAAAAACTTTAAAAGGCAAGGCGCAAGGATGGGCCGCGTGAAAGAACTCATAATACAAACTCAGAAATGAGGAAGCTGAGTTGGAAGATGATTCAATTTCCCCGTTGGTAGTGACAGAAGAGGAAGAATAGACGGTGGTAGTTTGCAGTGATGAGTCAATAGAGCTCTCATAGACATCTCTAACAGGCGATAGCGGGGGTTTCCCCGATTTTGGATTTCCACGTCGGCGTGATGGAGGATAAACGCATTGTGCTGTATTTGTGGCGCAGCGTGAGCAGACGGGCTTACGTCCATCGCAGCGAAGGTGTTTGTAGCGACATTGTGCGCACGAAAGGGAATTCCGTGTTCCACGCTTGGCAGGTTTGTTCCTGGCTGATGGTGTATCTGACATGACTTTTGAGCATATGACAAGGATAATGTAGTGAGAAAGGAACAAGAGTCACATACCGTGGGCTGGGCCCGCGTCCACGCCCGGGTCCACCTCAGATTAGTCATGCATCACCACAGCCAGGGCCCACACATGGATCTCCAGGGCTGCAAGGCCCCGGGGTGTGTGGATATAGGCATCGGGCATCGGGCATCTGTGTTTTATGAGAACGGCTGAATGAGAGTCAGCTAATTTCTTAATCTTGTCTTTTTCGTGCACTTGGTTCGACGAGGTTTCGAATTGTGCTAACGGGTGAAGATGTTCTTTTTCAACCTCAGGCTGCCTGGCAATAGGTGTCTGAGACAGCTATCAGTTACAGGGCCTAGCAGATGCGTATGCAAGGTCAGATTTAGCGGTTGACCATAAGATTAGGCCAAATTATGTATTTAGTCGACGATCGCCCAGTGGGGCCTTAATCTGATATTGGGAGACCATAGTATATATATTTAAACTCTCCGTAGCGACAGTGAAACACAAGTGATATTAGTATTTTTGATGTTTCCTTGGTCACATCTTATACACCTTAAAATTGTGTAGAAAGAACAATCATGCTTTCGCGGGCGGATGGGTGTCTTCTGTTTCACTTGTAAGAGTCACATCGCTCTGCCAATCTTTGAATGCCCGAGTCGGTAATGCCAACGAGAACATGCGATCAATCTCCATTGGCGTCCGCCCTTTCATCTCCGGGATAGCCAGCCACACTACCACGACTGCAACTGCGGCGAATCCTGCCATCACGAACCCTGTTTTAGCTCTCAGGTTTCCTTGGTCTGCGTTGTAGATATATGGCAAGATGATGGCAAATACTGCAGTTCCAACGCCGCTAGTAAACCACCCAATACCTTGGCTCTTGGCTCGGAGTTGCAGTGAGGACGCTTCGGCAGCAACCACATGAGACGCAGGCCAGGATCCGAAACCAGAAATCATAGTAATAATCATCATGCTAACCGCTGTGTACCTAGTGCCGCCAAGTTAGCTCATCATCTTAGGAATTGGATAAAGTGTCTTACCAAATCGTCACGGTTCCCTTGAAAATCCCTGCGATTCCGATGGCGAACCATAGAATCATAACAATACCCAGAGTCAGTAGAATCAAAAATCTTCTCCCAAAGGCATTCAGCGCCCATAGACTGGTAACATTCGCAACCAGGCCCAGTCCAATACCTAAAATCAGGAAAATCAAGCTGTTAGATGAACCCATACCCACGATCTGCATAAAGTAGGAGGCATTTGCCAGCAACTGCAGTCCGAACATCTGAGGTATCACGTTTGCAAAAGATACAATCAAAGTTCGGCGCATGTTGACTCCTTTGAAACAATCAGAATATGCATGTGTTGCGCTCTCCTCGTCCTCTGCTGAAATTGACGCCTGTAACTCGTCGATTACAGCTTGCGAGTTGACACAACTAGTATCGAGCTTTTTTTGTGCATTAAGAGCCTTGTCTGTCCGTCCCTTCCTCAAGAGCCAGGTTGGACTCTCTGGCAAAAACGCCGCTAGGACAAAGGGGACGGCCGAGAACGGCCATTGCGACGCAAAGCAAATCCGGTATGATTGTGCGCCTGTGTGTTTGAGTGATGTGTAAACCACGATCGACCCCACTAGTTGTCCAAGAAGCGTGAAGATCGGATAGAATGCAATGATCGGTCCTCGAAGAACAACAGGGAGTACCTCGGACATGTACGTCTGTGTAACACACAGAAGAATGCCAATACAAATCCCCTGGAAGAGTTTACCGGCGAAGAATACCCCTCGACGGGTTTCCATTCCATCCGGCAGGTCGGAAATGTAGCATATCGCGACTGCAATGGTAGATAGGAAACTGCCTGTAGCGAGCGTAATCCGACGCCCACGACGATCTTGATAGTAACCACCGAGGATGGAGCCGAACATCAAGCCAATGCAACTGGAGACGTTCCAGAGGGAAAGCCACATCGAGGGGATGATGTACTTTCCATTCAGTTCCTGGCCGAAAACAAGTCTGTTGCGTGTCAGCAGTCACTCATTTCAGTCTTTTGGGGGGATTATTCACTGGAATTGAGGCATTGCAGCCACTGTCCCTACGATGACCAGATCATATCCGTAGAGAAGAATTGCTGAGCTTAGCGCGAGGCAATAGCCCACTATTCTGGGGAATTTCTTGATCGATTGCCAGAGTGGTATGTGTGATGTCTTTTTGCCTGCCTCAATGCCATCGGCGCCAGCAACGCCATCCTCATTGAACTCTTTGGTGGATTGTGTTTCAGAGAGATTCATAATGTATAGGTGCTTGGAATGATGATAAGAAGGAAATTTCTTGTCTTAAAACTGTGGATGTATGGCCTCTCCAGAATGGTAGAACAAAGAACCCCGTATACTAAGCTCAAAAAGGGGGGGAAAGCAAGGTATATTAAATGTAAAATTTATCCATAGCGCATGCAATATGCAAAGCCAACGGACCTATCTCGGCCAATCGAATATCTTATTTTTGAGGATTTTCTAAGCACTGACCTCAATATGTCACAAATAACAAGGATAGCTGGCTGGTCTCTTGATCCTATTTGGGTACGAGGCGGTCCCCCGCACGACTGCCAAGGCGATCATCTCAGAAAAGACCATCGCTTAGACGTAACTGGGGTAATCCCTGGTAATCCTGCTATTATACCACCATGTGCCTGGATCCCGGTCCAGCATATCTACAAACAGCCACAATATTCGAGTATGGTGCCAACTCGCGACACTGGATTTTCTTTTCAAGGATCCTCCCGTTTTCAACGTATGTTGGTTGCAATACTGTCTCTTAGTGAACCTTGCGAGAATGCGCATTTGCCGTCCAGGATCGAAGCTATCTCGCTAGGAGACTAAACGGGATGGTTGGAGGGAAGTGTTGAGAAGAAGCCGGGTCCTACATTATGCCTTATGCAGTGTAGTCGAGTGAAGACAGCCCAGAATCAATTAGGACTGCTTGCCCTCGCCCAGCCTGGATACGCAGGCCATGATAGAACGCAATTTCCGTTGATCACAACGATCCAGAACCCCCCTAGTTTACCTGTGCCTCATATCAATACTGCCACATATCATTCGCTCTGATTCTATAGATCTAATATTATAGATCTGGCACTATCCTTTTTGCTTCGTACCCTTTTACATGAGTCTGAACATCTCAGTTTAAAATAGGGACAGTGTATGGTCAATTACGCGTAGTGCAGCAAACAAGACACTATTGACAGAAAGGCTGGCGGTCGATTTTCCGGATGTATTCATTGTTACGAGGTAGCTCCGTTTTTGCAACCTATTTGGAACAAAGTTTCCCAACGGGCATCTCCGAGACAGCAAGATGCTAATAATATCCTTTGGATCATCTAGCTTTCCTTGGTTTGACCTGTCATAGACTCAGACCCCGATCGGGCCTCCTTCATTTTCTCCAAGTCCCCCAGGTGTTGTTTCAACGCGGAAATCTCACGTTCTAACTCAACCGATGAAGCGAGTCGATATTTGAGCTTCAAAATCGCAGCTGAAATCACAAGAAATGCTAGAGACGTAGGATACGCCCACTGACCAACCTGGCTCGGAGTCTCCTCTGACGGTCCGTCATTGGAGATTTGGATCTCTATCCAAACAACAAAGGCAACAATGGTGAATGGACTGACTATCATGCTGAAGAGTATTCCAAAAAGAATCGCGGCGTCAACAAGCACATGGAGAAAAGACTTCAGGAACCGCCGGCTGAATATGTGTCGCATTCGGCGCCAGACAGAGGTCTTTTTGTTTGTTGGTTCTGGGTCATCCTCATTGTCATCCAGGTTGCTTGGTGGCTTCAGGGTACCATAAATTTCGTCTTTGAAGCTTTTCCAAATAGTCTTTCGTTCTTTCCAGATGACCACGATCTGCGCTGATGGGATCCGTGATCGGTAAGGTAGGAATCGGTACGTCAAAAGAATGCAATTTAGGATTAGACAGAGAATGATGAGACTGTAGATGTATCGATGTGAGTAAAGGACCTTATTCAAGAAGCTTTGGGCGCCAGCGACTTCAAAGTCTCCGTCTGCGGTAGCTGAATGCAATGATTCTGGCTTTCGTAGAATTTGTGTTGAATTGAAACAAGGGTTGAAGCAAATATCTCCTAGCTGATTCCACCGCGATATGTTCGAAAATGTATCCCACACACTGTCGTTCCATGTAGATGTTCTCCATGAGGCTTGCCAGCCATCATTTGATGTGTCGTTGAAAGGCGGGAGATCAGGGAAGCAAAACATGTACTGGGGGTTTTTTTTAGGTATTTTTGCGGCATAGACTAGGGCACATATAGAGCCAGCTAACATGAGGGCGTGCCAAAGATAAAATAGAAGGTTTCGTGCCCGATCGTGGGTTAGGATGCGGGACCAGCATTGGAGGGGCAGAAAGACGAGATAGCCAGTGACAACGATGGCAAGAACAGCATCCGAGTCAAGCTCAAGTGATGCGGGCGAGACAATAACTTGGTCTGTTTCGGTGACCAAAGAAGGAAATTCGTTTCGCAGGCTGGAGTTAGCTGGCAGGTACGGAATAGTGACAGGTCCAGGGTCTTGGGGCGTTTGGTAACTAGAAACCATGATAAAGGTTTGAATTGCCGCAGTTCCTGCGTATGCAGCTGCAGTTCCTAAGAATGCATTCATAACCCATCCTGTCCATCGAGTGACACAGATTGCCAGCAGAAGTGCATAGAAGAGATATCGTGGACATGAGTTGTATATTGTACTGATTGGATAAAAGCAGAGAGTCTCCTGGGCAATAAACAAGGGAGAACCCGTCTGATCCATTGGAGAGATGAAGTGTGTGGAGAGAGTTGAGGTCCATTTTCTGTTTTTCCATTTCCCTTCAGGCTGCCTTTTTTTTTTTTTTTCTTACGTGACTCTTCTCAGAAAGTTGACGTCATACATTTTCCATTCCTCATCTAAGCATCTTCTACTTGCCAATATTCTATGTCAATGAAAATGGAAATGAAGAATGATTGTACATGTGGTGATTTTACAACAAACATGAATGTAAAAAAAGCAATAAAATATAGCGAAAGTTTAGTGGCAAGGGTATTTAACTATATTTCTACATGGAGTAGAAATAAACATGGCAGAATAAAACAGTCATTCTATGTATTCTAAAGATCATATATATCCATTCAAACCCAATTACCAATTATGACCCATAGGTACCAGTGCTCCAATTAAAAATATCGCGCCATGACCGATCCAACCATTCATTGCTTCCGGTCATTAACCTCATCCACAATATACATAACGAGTCTCGTAATGGGACCACCCCGACGCTTTGGTTTCTGGGCTCGTGTCTTTTCACGCCTTTGTCCCTGCAGATGGCCACTCTCCAGCTCCACTGAATCTCCCTCTCCGCTATAGACACTGGGTTGCTGCGTATACTCTGCTGCAGGTCGTACTTGAAGTGTAAGGCCGATGCCCAGGCACACAAGAACAACGATAAACTCTTCTAGAACAGACATCACAAGCTGAATTGTGACATTTCCCGACAGCATATTGAATTCGGCCTTTTGGCCAAAGGCATAGATGAAAGAGTAGATTAATCGCACGAGGATCAAAGGGAGGGATATTCCCACGGCCAAGAGGAGGCGATGTTCTCCGTCCTCGATACTCTGAGTTCGCATCAAGACCAGAAGGAACAGTCCGCACACACCGATCCAGGCAACAAGGTAGAGGATGAGCCCAACCTTTGTCTCTGTGGTGACAAGGCCATGGGAAATATCGGAGTTCTTGGTTGCGCCGACGATGCTCAGAATCACGGCGACTAGTGCAAATAGTCCAACAAGCCGGAAGATAATCGGAGGGAGAGGTTTGGCGGTCTTTCGCATAATAGAATCATTTCTAAGAAATGTCGTTAGCTGCAAATCATCGAGTCAATCGCAAGTAAAGGTGTTGCTCACGCTCGTGATAAAAGACCAATGCAAGCCAAAATTAATGGCGATAGTCCGAGTGAAGTACAAACAGCCCATGCAATGTATAGGTTGACATTGGAAGGAGATTGAATCGTGGCCAAGTAGCATACTGCGCCAACAATGCGGGCAAGACAAAAAAGGTTGAAAAAAAACCAGCCCGAGCTTCTTTTGAAACCATGATGAAATGCCATCCAAAGAGCAATAAATAGGGTTGGAGAGTAAATAATGATCTCTAGGATCGAGATCCCATGCCGATAATCGATGGCCATAATCGCAAGTGACAATGAAGAATACTGGAATCAAGAGGAAAACTGAGAATGGACTGATACTTGTATTACCCTCGATTCATGGGCGCTTGTCTGCTATTTAACTCTTTCGACGCCATTTCAGCTCGCGATAATTTCTTCTTTATCTCCATTCATAAGGCAGTGCAATTAATTTCGATATCTGAGCCTCACACCCTAGGCGAATATAGTAAGAGTTGCGGATACTCCACTCAAATAGATTATTGGCCAATCGCATCTGCTCAAGCACACACTGCATACTAGATTCGGCTTAGTGCATTGGGTAGCTCTGCTTAAGCCTCTGGCTAAGCCTCTCTGAACGCCACAAACCCATTGCTTGGTGAATGTATTCTGACAATCTGACTGTGTGGCATCTCCTTACGGCCGTAAAAATCTGCAAAAGGATCCACCGAATGCGATGAGTTCGGTTTCCTTTGCCCACATAGGGGACTTCTTCCCGCAGAATTTCCTTGGTTTCTTCTTTTCGAGCATCCTAGCGCTGTCACTTGTCATCAAGGTACGATTGTATCATAGCTTATTCCAGTCCACAAATGTGTGCTACTCACGGGTAAATGTAGAAAGAGTGATAATAATGTTGAAATTTGGTGCAATAGATATATGTTATGGTATTTCGTTTAGCCCAGTCGGGCTGAACATTTCGCGACATTTCACTATGGTCGCAGTATCTCCATCATCATCGACATCGTTTGAGTGATATTCTGTCCCGGGCAGAAAGAAACCTTTATTGAGAAAAGATTAAGCATTCTTTTTTATATCTCAGTTCTTTTCTCCAAACCAAGCCCACTTGGCCTGCCCCCACTGAAGGCCGCACCCCTCATAGACCGAACTTACCTAAACCCTTCAATATAAACTTCCGACCTTTTTACCCGTTTTCTTCTTGTTTCCACTCAAACACTTTTTTCATTATGGGGCAAGAAACCGCTCCATGGGGCGGGCTAGCCGTTGAACAATTTTTGATCGTACGTTCCATTATTTCTTTGCATCGAACACCTTTCAACAGAGAATTTGGGATCGAGTCTCACCAAAATCACCCACTAAGCAACGCCTTCGGCTTATTAATAAATTCCTTGACTTGGACGAGATCCCGATGAACTGAATATGAAATTATATGAAATCTCGCCGTCTCGACAGCCAACCCCCGACGGAATTAAGGAAATTCTTCGGCCTTAGAGGCCTAATGGCCTTCGTTAGAAAGCTCAATAGACACATTATAGCGATAGCATACCTATCCTTCTTTAAGCCCACTATAGCTCCGACCTAAAAGATGACGAGACACTAGAGGTATAGACAGATAAAGAGACGTTCGAAGAAGCCTTAAACTAGGCATGCCTTAACGATAAGAATCTCTTCAATTTCGGTGGCGGATATTCGAGATCTTAAGCTCGGAGGTTACTAGTCTAGTGCTAGCAAGTGCGGAACGGTATATATCTCCCGATGGTTTACAGTTATTTCGTAAGGAGTTTAAGGAAACTATCTCTACCGTGAAGCAGAATTTACTAGATGATTAGAAAGGAAAGAAAAGCTAGTATAAGATTATTAAGGATTATAGGAATAGTCTATATAGGGTCATTACCGAGGTCTATCTTCTCATTACGGATAAGGAAGCCATCCAAACTAAGCAACTTCGGCTGCTCTATCTAGATAATAAACGAAATATTGTCCGAGAGGGTGGTGTCGACCCTGATATTTGGCAAATATACGACATCATCATACAGCATTATACGAACCCCCTTTATCCTTACGAAATTTCGACTGTTGGTGAAAAGTATCGGGTCAATGGGGAATTGGGAAAGGACTTGTATCAGTTGTCTAAGGAAGATTTTGGACCACATTGACTAGTGACTAGCTAAATCAGTACCGAACTAAATTAGTCAGAATCCTTGGCTCAATGACAGATATCCACGTTATTGAGTCAACTTGAACTCGACTGCATAGGCCAAGGTCAAAATGGTGGCTCTATCATTGTTTAGCGCAATTTGCACAATTTCCTTCCACAAACTGACAACCCTTGTGTTGCTCACTGGGCCTGTTCCCAATAAAGATTTCCCCGCCTCCCGGCTATACGGTAAAATGACCGTTGATCGACATCCCAGAAAGATTAAGATCACCCCTTTCTACCGTTTATCGTATTCACGTCGTATAAATATGCCGAGGGCTCATTATGTATAGATTATCACACGTAAATGGAGGGAGTTATAAGTACGCGCTCGTTTTCTTAGTTCGTGTAGCTTTTATTGTCAGGGCCGTGGACTCAATTCTCATCGTCTGTGCAATTTTGTCGCGGTTTAGCGTATCAATCATGCTATCGCTCGCATTGGCCCTAGTTGGCATTTTGGGGCCTACTGGTTCATTGTCAACCGATCCCGGTCCAGCAGCTTGTTCCAATATCACATCGCAACTGGGATCGTCCAAAGTCATAACCAGCAAAATTAGCTTGAAGTATATCGCTAGCACAGAGTATTGGAGCACGCCCCAAGATGTTTACAAACCATCCTGTGTCGTCTATCCTTCATCCTCGGAGGATGTCTCTGTGGCTCTTCAGGCCATCCGAGCAGCGGGCAGCCGGTTTGCAGTCAAAGGAGGAGGACACAACCCTAATAAGTTCTTTTCGTCAACCGAAAAAGGCGTGCTCATTAACTTGAACGACCTCTCGGAAAGGTCGTATGATCCAGATACCACTCTGGCAACATACGGGCCAGGTGGTGTATTTGGCGACATATACGACTACTTCGTGGATTATAATCGCACGGTCGTTGGAGCCCGACTCTCCGGGGTGGGAACCGGCCTCGCTCTGGGTGGTGGCATGAGCTATCTCTCTCCACAATATGGCATGGCCTGTGATTCATTCAGGGAACTAGAAATTGTTCTTCCTGATGGTCAAATCGTGACAGCGTCCAACACTATCAACCCTGACCTGTTCTTTGCGTCGCGTGGCGGCGGGGGCAATGCCTATGGTGTTGTAACGAAGTATACGGTCCAGAGTCGCCCTATTGGTCAATTCCTCGCGGGAAATATCATCTATGCCTTTTCTCAGAAAGATACCGTTGTTGAAGCAATTGGCAATTTCATCCAATACAACACCGACCCCAAAGCCAGCATTATCGGCACTTACGAGAAGCTGTTCACCCCCGATTTGAATCTGAACTTGGACGAGGCCATTATCATGTTCCTAGTATATGATGGCCCTAACGCAGGTGATGCGTTCGCGAACTTCACGAGCATTCCACATCTCCTCGACACTACTGGCCTCAAGTCCTACCCTGAGGTAGCCGACATGCCACTTCCAATTGCCACCGAGGTTTCACGCGGGAACAACATCTTCCGTGTTGGAGTCCACCGCGCCGATAATGATGAGTGCAAAAATGCCCTGGATGTGTGGCGCAACTGGGGCGAGCTGAACAAAGGCCAATATCTACTCCTTTCACTCGATTTCCAGCCTGTCCCCAAAAGCTTGACAGACGCCAGCAAGGCGCAGGGTGGAAATGCAATGGATATGCCCGACGGTCCATGGTTCTGGTTGAATTATTTGATCACAACGCCACCGGGAATGAGCCAGCCTGACTACGATGCCATTCAGTCTAGCTTCCGTGATATGATTGCGTCGACAACCAATGCCGAAGGTCTTCCGTTGTTCATCAATGATGCAAACTATGATCAAAATCCTCTGTCAACCTTCTCTACATATGGGAAATTGCAACGAATCAAAAGGAAGTATGATCCGGATAACTTCTTTGCCGATAAGACGGGGGGTTGGTCATTTGACTAGAGGCAGTGGGCTCTGCAACTCTGCAATTACTTGTTGGTAGACGAGATAAATATACTTCACCTTCGAACAGTCTTGTCTATAGCCATCGTACTATACCGGAAGATAACAATCCTTGATTCATATCATTTTGTGATAAGTCCAGTTGGCAAATTCAGTCTGGAATAGTACAGGGATTTGGTTCACATAAATGCTAACGTCGTGATCCGAACACCACCATTATCTCATTGCTTTGCCTCAGCAGAAATCAGCAGAAAGTAGGGACGATATCCCTCAATGTTCCAGTCTGCTTGACCTGCGACACTCTCCTTTGAAGGACACCAATCCTTCAATCCGGTCAACACAAACCCATTCTCAAGCAAAGCTGTGGCATAGGTCTCAACAGTGCGATGATATTTCCTTACTCCCTCTGCTCCCAGCCAGCTAGTCAAGCGCAGGCCCTCGCTGCTATAAGAATTCAATGGCCACACCTTCCGGTCTGCACCTGCATCCCGTATCACCCTGAAGCCCGGCTTTGGGTAGACTAGGGCGGTTCCAATAGGGTGTTCAACGGAGAAGATCAATCTCCCCCCCTCGCTCATGATCATCACCTTTTTTCAAGCAGCCGTGGATTTCACGAAATAGTCGAATAGTCGCACCATATCCTCAACGTAGTGAAAAGTCAGGGAACTATAAACCATATCATACAGCTCATGTTTGGGCTGGTGGCTCAAGGTTATAGTTTCTAGATCGTGGATTTCGAAGATGACTTCAGTAGCAGGGGCTGATGCCACCACCCCGTTCCTCGTTTGGTGATTGATCTCAGTCTCAAACTCCTTTGCTCGGTTGATCATGTTTTGGGAAATATCGACTCCTTTGACGTAAGCAGCGCCTTTCTCACGGGCCCAGCGTATGAACCAGCCGTAGCCACATCCTAAGTCGAGAATCAGAGATCCTTTCAGAGAATTTTCTGATGGCCCTATGGGAGAGAACTTGGTACTGAGGATCATCCCCTCCAGGATAGGCCATTTCGGTGCGGCCTGCAGACCGTGTTGAGATCGAGGGAGATTTCCATACTCAAAGAAATCTGGGTCGTCGTAAATATTTTGGGATTCGACAGGCAGAGTTGTGAGGCTAAAATTCACTGACGACGAGTAACTAGGTATCACTTCGTGGCCCTGTCGTTGAAGACGAGTGACGGGTAAAAAAGAGCAATTCTCGAATAAACTACTAAATACTCAGTCCGATGGTGTCATGAAGACTTATATTTAGTAAGACTGGATATATACCTGAAGAGATAGCGGAATTACCCGCTTTGTATATTTCTCAATCCGGTCCCAGCTCTACATAGTAGTTTCACAATGCCCATGCGCATATTTAATTTCACAGTAGTCCAATTATCCATCTAGCTCGTCTATTCTTTCTTGCCCCTGCCGATATACTCTTTAGAAGACTTCCAGATACCCCTCGCACCGATCGCAATATCCTGCCGTCCGTCATAAAGTGGGAAAATCACGACCGCCCCAAAGGCAGCGAACTGCCAGATTATGGCGACAACTACCCACCCCGCAAAAAATGATTTTGTGAAGATATAATCGCGATACAGTGGAAGAGGCCAAGCAACGAACGTGATCAGCACGATAGCTCCGAACATGTACCATGCAATCTTGAGCCATCTGTACAGCTCTTTCAATGTTGCGTCATCAAATGGGTGCTGAATATCATCGAGGCTGATTTCCACGGAAGATGGCGACGAAGCTTTCTTCGTAGTATTCTTTTCGCTGATGTCGCCAATCTGCTCTGCGTCGTTTTCAATGTTTTCTGGTTGGCTATCCACAACCGGTTTGACACATCCAGCGACGCGCTTCGAATCATTTTCGTGGTCTTCCTCGCTGCTCTCGTTCAATGTGCTTGTGTCTGAGGGCGACTGGATTTCTGCTTGATCTGCGAGCTCAATTCGAAGGAACACCCTCCAGTCGAACTTGTAAGGCTTATAGAGTGACAGGACAACGGAATAGAGAGCCGGCGTGAAGAAGGAAGCGATGGCTGCATATAGTGCTGGATAGGGATTTGTAGTGGTTGTGATATTGATATGTCCATACATATATTTGGTTGTTGCCAACCAGACAGCGAGGCCTGAAAAGAAGCCAAGCACGGGAGAGACAATTGCAGCTATCCGGGTCTGCCGAGACCAGAATAAAGTGAGAATCATGGGAATGATTCCAGGGCATGAGATGATGGGTCTCAGGTACCCGATCCATGTCATGTTTGCTCCTCCGTAGTTTAGAGCGATGGAAATTCCGGTGATAAAGACGCCGTGGATAACAACAGTCAAGTGGCTCACTCCCACAATTTGCTTGTCGGTAGCTTTCGGGTTGAGATATGTCTTATAGATGTCATAAGACAAGATGCTACTGACGGCAATCATTGAGGAGGAAACGGTACTCGTCAAAGCCATGAACAAAAGGAAGAAGAATCCAATAATTCCTTTGTCTCCGATGAGTGCTTTTATGGTATATGGCATCACCATGCCCGAGCTGACTTCAGTGGCAGTAAGCAGACCAGGGTAGGTCGGAAAGATTGGTGTATCGTGAATTGCTCTCGTTGCCAACCCGATGACTGTGCCCAGACCCCAGGGAATACCGAAAACAGCCAATGCAGCGATATTGTATCCTGGCACTGTTGCCTTGACCTCTGTCGCAAAGGACTTTTGCCAAAATGCGGTATCCTACCGATGAAATATTAGCTTTCTAAAAACACGAAGTTTTGTGATTCTCAATAGTCTTTCTAGACCTTTCAAGGATCCCATTGTGGAATTGACGTACCATAACGACAAGTGCCAGGTTTCCAAACTTGAGAATCAACCCCCAAATAATTGCATCCTTGGACTTGAATGTGAGAAGTGAACCTTCGTAGTTGCCGGGGATGTAATTATCCGCAGCTGTTGCAGTAACTTTATCATACAAACCACCTAGCCCACCAATGGCTGAGTTTGTGAGAACAGCGATCGTGAAATAGATGATGAGAATGAGGGCAATGGCCGTGTGCAAAAAGTCTGTCAGGAATGTGGCCTTCAAGCCACCGACGGCTGTATAGAGGACAACTATAAAGAAGTTAGCTCTTGATTCCTCGGATATTTTCAGAAGGGAAATAAAACGAACCTCCAAGGGGAACGAGAATAGTTGCTGCTACATAGTGCATGCCAGAAACACCATGAATAAGCTGAGAGCCCGTCATAATCATCGAGGCGCAGCCGAAGACGTTGTTGACGAGGTTGAGCACAATAAACACGAGATGTCCAATCTTGCCATAGCGCATCCGAACGACTTCAAGCGAGGTATGAGCATAAGGGACTCGAATCTTGGCCATAACACCGAGTGCTGCCATCAGTGCAATTTGGAAGCATAGACCAGATCCCCACCACTATGGCCCGTCAGTCACGCAATGTCATTCGGGGTTTAGGGGAACATACCAGAGGCACTGCAAGACCGTATCTATATGTCATAGCCGCACACAATACCGTCTCGTTGATCCACATCCAGGAGCTGAAGACTGCGGATGCACACAATCCTCTCCCTACGGAGCGATTGGCGACCATGAACATTTCCGACTTTCCAGAATCTTCAGCAAGATACGCTTTCTGTACCTTGACGGCAATCAAAATGACACCGCAGAACACCACGCTGAGACCAATGAGAAGGCCATAGGCCGCCCCCTGAGGGATCAAGGCCAACTTGGACGTATCTATCGTGTTAGACATGTCTGGGCAAAGTAAAGCCAAGTTCGAAGGTGCAGGGCCGAGAAATATTTATTGTCTGGAAGTTCCATCATATCTTCAATGCCAAGGCTGGTCTCTGTAGATCTGCAGCCAATTGGCAATCTGTGGAGGACTGCGCAACAATCAGAGTTGCCATGTAGGCGATATATCTCACGTCGTCCAAGTCCGCAATTGCGTTATACGAAATGAGTGGTAGAGACGCGACTAAAAAGTCTAGGCACAGGGCCATTGGAAGATCAAAACAAAGCCAACAAGCTTAACATGTGGTAGTTGTGGAATATACGGGAGTTTGAGGGGATTGTGGTTGGGATTGCGTGCCTCGACTCCCAGATTGCGAGAAAATGACTTGGAATCGCGAACGACAAGGGTCACTGCGTACCCCACACAAGAGGCTAATTTATCGGCCGATATGGGATTCAAAATATTCATCGCAAATGTCGAATACCGATTAACGAAAGATAAGCCTCCAACGTTGGAATGACGCTGGTGCGATGGTGACAGCGCTTGGCGTATACTTCCGCCCGCTATGTATACAACGCGGTTCCCGTTACCCAAAACTCAGTAATTAAACCTCAGTGCCTCTTTAAATTCCGTGCAGATTCAAAGGATTCCAGCTCAAAATGGGTGAAATCATACCAACCTCCGGCAAAAAGCAGATCATCCTCAATGCTTTCGTCATGAATACCCCGGGCCATTTGGCGCCCGGGCTATGGAAGCACCCTAGGAACAAGACCGATCAGTACAAAACACTCTCATTCTGGACCGAGCTAGCTCAGTTGCTTGACAAAGCCGGTTTCCATGCGATGTTCATTGCAGACACCCTAGGAGCGTACGATGTGTACAAGGGCCCTAATAATGTTGTGCCCGCATTGGCATCAGGCGCGCAATTTCCTGTCAATGACCCATTGTACCTTGTTCCTGCCATGTCCGCAGTCACAAAGAACCTCATTTTTGGAGTGACTGCCAGTGTGACATACGAGAAACCGTATGCGCTCGCACGCCGACTCTCTACAGTGGACCATCTAAGCCAGGGTCGTGTGGCATGGAATATTGTCACGTCATATCTGGACAGCGCAGCCCGAAACCACGGGTTGAACGAGCAGATTCCTCACGACGAACGATACGCAATAGCAGATGAATATCTCGAGGTGCTCTATAAGCTCTGGGAAGGAAGTTTCCGAGACGACGCCGTGCTTGCCGACCGACAGTCCGGGACATATATTTCTAGCGATGGGGTGCGAGAAATAAACCACAAAGGGAAATACTTTGATGTCCCTGGGCCTCATTTCTGCGAGCCATCGCCGCAGCGTACCCCATTCCTGTTCCAAGCCGGCGTGTCCGAGGCTGGTGGTCAATTCGGTGGAAAGCATGGCGAGGCAATCTTTATCGGTGGTCAGACCCCCGAGGGTACTCGCTTGACGGTGGATAATATACGGAATATTGCCAAACAGCAAGGTCGTGATCCCAATCATATCAAAGTTATCGTGGGTATCAACGTGATTGTCGCAGCGACAGATGAAGAAGCAAAGGCAAAGCGGGAGGAATATCTCGAGTATGCCGACGACGAAGGTGCACTAGCTTTGTTCGGTGGATGGACCGGGATCGACCTGTCAAGCCATGCTGATGATGAGGATTTCCGGTTCAGCGACTCGCCGCGGGTCCAGTCCATTGTTCGGAGATGGTCTGCTACCGTGCCAGGCACGGATAGCCTGCCATGGACCAAACGGAGGATCGTGGAGTACATCAGTGTGGGTGGACTACAGGCTAAGGTTGTTGGCAGTCCTACAACGGTTGCAGATGAGTTGGAAAGATGGGTTGAGGTCTCCAACGTGGATGGTTTCAATCTTGCTCATATTGTGAATCCTGGAACTTTCGAAGATATCATTGAGTTCTTATTGCCAGAACTGCGACGTAGAGGGTTGTTCCGAGAGGAAATTGAGAAAGAAGGTGCTACGGCTCGCGAAGTGTTTATTGGATCGCAACGTTTGCCAGAGGATCATCCTGGAAGCAAGTACAAGTGGCGGGCAGGGGAGACCATTCCTCAATATCAGACTAAGCAGAACTAGGTATTACATGCATGTACAAGGTATCTGATTAATAAATCCATGTAAGCGCCGGGGTTAAGCTTCCGATATCAATTATATTCCGACCCCCCCGCGGCATTACAAATCAATCCAATATAAATATCGATTTGATCTGTTTGATTTCCACCGTCGCAGATTTCAAAATGAAAGAAGCCATTATTGACAAGACTGTTTCGGTCATCATCCGTGATGTTGACATCCCCACTCCCAAACCCGGCCAGGTCCTCATCCGGGTAGTAGTGTCCGGTACCAACCCGAAGGACTGGAAACGCCCCAAATGGCGACCAGACAATGCCATAAACCAGGGAGACGATATCGCGGGGTATGTGGAGGCAGTGGGAGAAGGAGTCCGCAGCTTCCGCGAGGGAGACAAAGTGGCCGCGTTCCACGAGATGGGCAGCCCCCATGGAAGTTATGGCGAATACGCAATTGCATGGGAATACACGACATTCCATCTCACTGAGAAGACCAGCTTTGAAGGTATGTCCCCCGGGTCCTAATTAGCACACGGGGATGAAACTAAACATATTGACTAGAGGCTGCTACTATCCCTCTCGCTGCGATGACTGCTGCATTGGGCCTATATCAACGGCTGAAATTGCCTCTACCTTGGGCTCCCGCCGATAAACCGACTCCGCTGGTTGTGTACGGCGGTGCTTCGGCAGTTGGCGCATTTGCAATCAAGTTCGCTCAGCTATCGAACATACACCCTATCATCGCTGTCGCAGGCAAAGGCGCTCCCTTCGTCGAGACATTGATCAGCAGAGAAAAGGGAGACAAGATCATTGATTATCGTGAAGGCGATGACGCTGTCTTGTCGGCGATTAAGGCTGTCGGCAAGGAGACACCCATTCATCATGCCTACGATGCCGTGTCCGAGAAGGGAAGCTATGTAACTCTCGGTGCTGCTCTCGATGCACCTGGGAAAATCACTGTCGTCTTACTTGCGGAAGCTGATAAGGCGCAGGAGCAAATTAGCATCTATCGAACTATGGTTGGGTCTGTTCATATGCCGACTGCTGAGGGCCAGACTCTTGGTGATGAAGAGTTCGCGGCTGCTTTCTTCCAATTCATTGGTCGAGGTCTGGCACAGGGTTGGTTCTCGGGCCACCCATATGAAGTGAGAAAAGGTGGACTGGGAGGTCTCGAGGGCGCCTTGAAAGATCTGGAGGCTGGCAAGGCATCTGCGGTGAAGTATGTGATCAAGATTGCCGAGACTGAGGGAGTCCAGCAGTAGTTATATTGCCCGAGAAAACGATCTTGAGTTACTCTATGAATGCCATGATGATAAAGTTACAAAATCTATGCCAAGCCAGATCGGGATGTATAGATCGGGACTTATAGATCTGGATCGAAAATGACATCACCGATAAATTCTCCCAAGTCGTGCAGAATGGACATACTGCCTCGATTCCAGTCACTAATGCCCAACACCTTCTCATTCCACAATGGCAAAACGCACGCTCGACGCATTCTTCAAGCCATCAACCACCGCTCCAAAACGACCTAAAATCGATCCCATCGAATCCAACACCGCAATCACAATCTCAACCCCAGAAGCAAACAATATCCCAATCGAGGACACCAAACCCCCAAGCCAACACCCAAGCTACCCAATCCCAATCGCCCAACTCCCTCCCACATCGAAGTAGGCCTAGAACACGCAACACCAGCAAATGCACCTCGCGAAATGAACAACCAGCCACACCTCGACCTCCTCCACTTCCAACCCTACATCCCCCGCCCAACAGCAAACGAGCTATTCAAATTCCTCCGTCGCGAACTCCCCTTCTACCGCGTTCAGTACACAGCACGACGCGGCGACATCGAAACGCAAATCAATACACCACGATGGACAACAGTCTTTGGAGTCGATGAGACATCGACATTCATCCAAGAACAAGACAACAACCCCAACAGCCTCATTCTACTAGAAACAAAGTCGAAAACCCCAATCCCGAAAACAAAATACCAGTGCACGCCGCGCCCAATCCCAGCTTGTCTTGATCTGCTGCGGAGACAGGTCGAAGCAGCGAATGCAAATGCAAACGCAGATAATACAACCTCCGGCTACAATTTCTGCTTGGTAAATTACTACGCCAGCGGAGATGACAGTATCGCATTCCACTCTGATGACGAGCGCTTCCTCGGACCCGAGCCGAACATCGCCTCGCTGTCGCTGGGCGGCGAGCGAGATTTTCTAATGAAGCATAAGCCTTTGGTGTCCGGGGGAATTGTAAAGCGGACGGCGGGTGGATGCGTGCCTAGTGCTGCAGACGCAATGTCCGGGCCGGGTGGTACCAGTGCGACGCAGGCGAGTTGTACGGTTTCGGGTGGGACATTGAATACCGTCTCTTCTCCTGGATCCAGGCCTGCTGCTACGGTGCCACTGCAGCAGATCAAGATGAGTCTTGGGTCAGGCGACATGGTTGTTATGCGCGGGGCGACGCAGTCGAATTGGTTGCATAGTATTCCTAAACGGAAGGGGAAAGCTGGGGAGGCGACGAGGGGGCGGATTAATATTACCTTTCGGCGGGCTGTTGTTCCTGGCGGGACAAATAATTATTATCATTATAATGTTGGTAGTGGGGGGATGTATCAGTGGGACGAGGTTGCGAGGGAGATGGTTCTGCGGGATAGGAAGGCATAGCTACGTGGTAGCTGGTAGCGACCCGGTGTGTGATTGAACAGGAATAAGATTTGAATGGAATAAAATATACATGGGTGCCGTAGCACGAAAGGAATATCTCATGCGCTTGAGTTGGACGTACAACTCGAGGTGAGACAGATGATATCACTGTGATAGCCATCCCGGCACAGTTCAGCTTTGTACATTTGCTTCTGACAAAACAAAAAAATAGACATCGAAGCAAGTCATCATGTGGCATTGGCACTGCGTCTTCCCAGTAACCATGGTATTTCTCCCCTAGGGAGTTCCGGCAAGTGCCGGGTAATAAAGAAACGTATTCTGGTTGAAATGCAAGAGAGCTATCGGCCCTTGTACATAGGCATAAGAGAAATAACTTGAAATGATCAGTAGTTAAAGATGACTTCTTCGCCGTAGACATCTGCGTAGCATTGGAACAAATCAGGGCAGCTATAATGAAACATGTTAGCGGGAAAATCGATACAATTGTAGGACAACTTACAAGACAGGGTCCTTGCCGAAAATGATGTGCCATGAGTACTCCATAATGTTCGAGGTAGCCTCGTCCGCCAGGTCATTGTTCATCACCCAGTCATACATGCGCTGGTAATCGCTATGGGGGCGCTGGAGAATCTGCTCTCGGGAAACGGCAAACTGGGAGCAACACGGGGCGGCGACTTCGCGAGGAACCGGCTCACCAGGGAACAGCTCTTTCCATGCAGCAGCGTATTGTGCCTCTCCCGGGCTTTCCGGCCTCGGGGATTGACGGAATGGTTGGATGGCCGAGGGACATCCTGGGCTCAATTGGCAACGCAAGTTGACAAAGCCTGCCTGCTGCACGAATTCTTTCTGCAATGCTCGCACCGAGTCCACGTTGCTGTAATCCATGGTGTCGATGTGCCAGCCGGCGATTACGCCGTCGCGGTGACTGTGCAGGAAGACCACGACGTCGGGAAGGTCGTCGTAGTGGTCGATCAGGTATTGGAGGTAGGGGAGAGCCTCGCGGCCCTTGTTCTTCGGGGTGTGCGTTGGGGCATTGGTATCGTCGACGGTGTAGATCACGCTGCGCCATCTGGAGATATTCAATTAGGCTGGCTTCTTCTGGGAATATAATCGAGTTACACTCACTCTGACAGTTCTGCCCCGACCCAAGCGGTATCTTCCTCCTTGCGCTTAGCCATCACAATAGCACCCTGGTTGGGGACCACGATCTCGGTGGTCTGGTACATTAAAGCGGGTTTCTTATCCGATGCAACCCGCCATTTCCGTTGCGATCCCGTCTCATGTTGGGGTTTTGGTCTGAGGGATGTGCGGAAGGAGCCGGTGTCGAAATGCCATATATCCTGAAGTGATTCACCTTTCGCCTTCAGATTGCGACAGACCAGGACGAGAGTCAGGATAATTAGTGCGGCGGCGGCACTAACACGGAGTGACAACCTCATCGCATAACGTGATTGTTGAGGTCGAGGGTGAGGGTATAGGGGGGAAGTGTGAGAGGAGAAAGATGAGAAGAGGCCAGTGTCTCAGAACGCGCAATCTTAGGAAAGTAATAAGCACCGACCCATGTGAAGGTCGGGGATCAAACTCACTCGCGTACTCTGAACGCGAGATGACGAAAGTGCCGAGTCAAGGGATGAAGGACTTCGAGAAGGAATGGAATCAATTGAGATAAGTATTAAGAGGCGGAGATGGTCCTTTCTCCAAGAAGAGAAATGGTAAAAAAAAAAAGAAGAAAAGGAAATTCAAAAAAAAAAAGGATCGCGCTTTCCTCATTTGGGAGAGTGGGCTGCGGTCTGTTTCTGTTTCTGTTCCATTTTGGGCCATTTGGGGCGTTTTGATTGGCCAAATTGAAAGATCTCGGCCTATGCCGCTTGAGTTTATTTTTTATTTTTTTATTTTCTTTTATCTTTTTGATTATTTTACATATTCAGGGGTACGGAGATACGGAGTACATAATGCTTAGTTGACTGTAGTACAAGGTGACTTGGATCCTTAATATCAACCTGGTCCAGTAGAGGTACATTCCTGAACCCATTTCACTACTGGACCCTATACATGATACACATCCCATGCAAGGGGATATCTCCCGTGTTTTGACTGCAGATCAATTTTTCAATCTTCCGATATACCCCAACGCCAAAATTAAAGACGGGTATGACCAACGCCAGTTAGTTGCAGAACCTAAGACATCAGCCCGAAAATAAATCCAAGACAACCCCAGTATAATATCCAAGACATCAGCTGCGCGCCGGCAAAATATTCACATCAAAATACTCCGAATCAGGCGCCAGCCTACCAACCACACACCGCATACTAGGCAAAACAGCCAACGTCCCCCTCTCAACCCCCCAATGCTGTTCCGCCAGATGCGCCATAAAGATATCCAGATTTCCATACACCTGCGTCGACCCCTGTGCCATCGCACAGCAAAATACACAACAAAACGTGCCGCGGGGAGTGTTAGGAGCAAAATGCAACGCCGGGTCCCGCTTACAAGGCACGTGTGATTTCGCCAAGAACTCGAACCGATAACGAATGCCGCTGGCTTTGTGCGTACGCACGCTTCCCTCGAATTGCGGGTTGTGGCTGGAACTCTTGGGGGCCATAGGTGCTTCAAATGCGCACTTCGTGCACCGCAGCCATGACTGTTGCGTGTAATATCCCGTCCCGGGTTCGGAGTAGATTTTGAATCCCCGGAATCCCGTGTGCACTTTCCACGCGCCTTTGCAGAAGCCCAGGTAGTTGTTCGTTTTGCTGGGTGGCCAGAGGGGTCGGATTGCTTGGGTTGGCCGGTCTGTGCTGCTTCGCGTGGACGGGTTTGACGGGATTGAGTCTGTTGAGGCGGTTGAGGTTGCAGATAGGGAATCTTGGCGGGGTTGTGTGGATGGGGAGATGGGCGAGAGGTGGTTGTTTTCTTCTTCTTTGGTCGCAGAATGGCTGATGGCATCGTCGGAGTCGGAGTCTGTGAGGCGTTCTTGCTTCCACGGGTTCCCCCACAAAACATCGTGGGGTATCGAGCTTGATCGCAGTTTGGGTCTGCGCGGCGTGGCTGGTCTGATATCAAATTGCGGAATCGGCTCTAACGTCGACGGCGACACTGCGTTGTATACCCCGGTTTGTGGGATGTACCTGGGCTCGGGCGCTGACGATGGGAACGACGGTGTACTCCAACGACTTGGGCGGGGATGGAACAAGTCACCCATACTACCCACAACTGACCCAAAGGCCGATGATCGTGTACGAGGTCTTGGATTCGCAGCCTCATCTCCCTCGACCCTCGATGGCCCCAGTGTATCCGTCGGTGAGGCGCAGACGACCTCGGGTATGAACTGGCCTTGTGAATAACTGGCTGGTGAGATGGGATATCCACCCGAGAGGTACCCCATATCCGACGTGTGGGATGGCCAGTATCTGTCCGGACCATTAGGGGAATATCCACGGCCATACGAATTCACTCTGTGGTAGTTTGGATCGATGGACATCGAAAAAGACGGCAGAACAGGCAACGGCCTCGAGAGACGCTGGTACAAATCTCCCAAAACGAGAAGAGTGCGAACACGGCCCTGGTCGGACTCTATCTGCAACGCCATCAGATCCGGAGTGGTTCCCTGCTCTTGCGCCTCGCGGAGGTGTCTCAGCAACGCCCCCTGCAGTGTGATGATGATATCTTTCATCTGCTCACGAGCGATCGAGTCACCGTCCTCGTATCGCCGGCCAAGCTCTTGATTGTGCTGATCAAACCGATATTGAATCTCAGTACGGCCGCGTGTGAGCGACCGTTCTAGTTCCCGGGTGGACTGGCGCTCGTGGTATTTCTTCCTAATGGCAGTGAACATACTGACTCCATCACCGTAGGCGGAGACGACTGTTTGCCGATTTGGGTTTGTTAATCTCATCTATTGATACTAGGAGAGGAGATGGTCTTACTAGCTGCCACACAGGCTACGACCGCGATCACCTCCACCCCCGACATGGTGAGTGAGATGGGATTTGGGATATATGGGGCTGAGGGGTTGAATACGAGCACTGCAATCTGTTTTAGGATCAAAAGATACAGTAGTCAAGAGGTATATGGGATTTTTTCGATATAAAACAAAAAGCTTGGAGAAGATAAGAAAGACAAGAAGGAATGCCCAGAAAAGGGACGCAGTTTGGTCCTTGGCCAAATGTGACGCAGACATGGACTCGATTGGAATCGACAGGTACTTCTGATAGCAAAAGCACAGTCCATTTGGGCAGTTCTCTTCGATTGGCGCCATGACTCTTCGACCAATGGGAACACAATTCTCCGATATAAGCGAAATGAGGGGGTTTGACGGAGGTGAGAGTGCCCAATCTGGTATTATCACCCGGGTGAACTGCATAATCATGTTGCCTATTGGTATGGTGATATGGTAAAAACATCCATGGATAAAAGATATACGTATTTATAGAAGCATACATAGTTAACTAGTTACATATAACTATGTACATAGTATGTTGTATAGTGCGAATCAGTGGGACATCGATGATCGGATCCACTGTATCCACAACCGATTCCTAGAGACGATCCTTTCAAGTGCTATACAAAGTACGATGCTGTTTGCATGTGGCGTATAATATCCTTCCTTACAGAACAAACAAAAAGTATCTTCATTTACGCATAGCTGACCCAAAAAAACAATACAAGGCCGCTTATCCAATCCAAGCCCTAACTACACTATTCTAACCCATACACCCATACATACATATGTAGATAATCAAACAAACAGTCCAAAAGCAACGCTAGCTCAAATGCAAACATAAGAAAAAGCAAAGAACCCCAAACCCCCATACCAGCCAATGATCAACAACATCGCCCCTTATTGCTCGACGCACGCATAACGAGCTCCTCCTCAGCACCAGCGACATTAACAGCAGGTGCCGCCAAACCCAGCCAACTCCTCCTCGTATCACCATGACCGAGCCGGAAACTCCCCGTGCCCTCCACAGCCCCAGGACTAAAGGGCCCAACGACCCCGTTCGCCATGGGCGTACCAGCAATCGACAGAGCCAACTCAGTATCCCGCCGATTGCGCTGTTCAACCAGCTTACGCGTTATCACGCGGAAAACCTCATCGATTCCCTCGCCATCCCGTGCGCTGATCTCATGACAGCAATCCCACCCAATCTCCTGCCCCCAGAAGGCCGAACTGCGCTTCGAGTCTGGACTCTGCAGGGCATTTGACGAGAGTGCTGCGGCGCTGGCGCTAGCGTTCGATGCGCTGCCACCACTGCCTCCAAAGACAGATGTTCCAAAGCCTAGCCCACCCATGCCTGCTGTTGCGGTTGCTGGTGGGGTGGAGGCTTGGGTCGGGTAGAGTTGTTCGGCGACATAGGCGATTGTGCGCTCGAATGGAACGCGGCGGCAGGAGGGGTCGTCGGCGACAATGTCGGATTTTGTACCTACGACATGGATGATGAGGGAGTCTGTGCCGTCGTCGCTGGGTGCGATATTTTTGCGGAGTTCGCGCAGCCAGCCGGCCATTTCTTGGAAGCTGTTTTGGTCGGTGATCTGTGTAGCCAGTTACTGTTAGTGTTTATGTAGGTTTTATTATGCTGTAATTTGCGCATGCGCAGGCAACAAATACAAAAGCAGACAAGAAGAATGGAGAGGGGAAATGGTGTGGAAGTGGATGTACTGACATCATAGCACAGGAGCACTGCTTGAGCTCCTCTATAATAAAGTCTCGACATGCTGCGAAACCTCTCCTGTCCAGCTGTGTCCCATATCTGTAATCTGACTATTGTATCGGAAGTGGAATCGAGGACGCGCTTCGTCACGAACGACGCGCCGATGGTTGAAGCCGCTGCGGGGTTGAAGGTGTTTTTACAGTATCTCTCCACGAGCGCGGTCTTTCCCACCCCTGGTTGTGATTAAGGTCAGTCTAGTGTTTAGTTGAGTTTCCAATCTCGACTATATAGACTGGAAAATGGGCACTCCACAGACATACCTTGTGCTCCGAGCACAACGATCTTAGCTTCAAGGCTTGAACTCATGTTTCCCCGAGGTTGAGGAAGCGGGGGTCAAGGTTTTGATTTCGCATTATATGTTAACAGAAGTCAAATTCATTGACAACCGACAGGAAAGAAAGCGATCAGATCAAAGAGAGATCTAAAAAAGAAATGAAAGAAAAGAAATGCTGGGGATGTTCCGGGCGGTATCAGCCGGTGGCTTCTTTCTTCCAAGGTTGTTCACGAGGTCATCTGCACGTGTCTTGGATAGCAAAATAGTATAAAAATAAATAAAGGGAAGAAAGGGTTCAACTTCTACGGAGTATAAACCCGACTATTTGACTTACATGCAGTGGCTGGTAACCTGAGGTTTAAGGCACATGTGCAGGCAGACAAAGGGCTGTATCAAGTTAAACTGTCAGCCTGCTAAAATTAATATATTCTACATACGCTGTTGATTGGTTTGCTCTTGGGGCTATTATACTCGTGATTATACTCGTGATTATAGTTTTAATTGCGAGGACTATGAATGGTCCCCTTACTCTAGGATCTATCAGCCTCATGCAAGGCAGCACCCGCATGAGTCACTATTAAACTTGACCCTAGAGCGGCAGGTTAGACGTTGGCACATGCAGGGACATTTACAGAGTACAGGTTTTACAATTTACATGGGAAAAGAGTAAATATGATATGTGTTCATCCTCTATACTGGGATCATGCAAAGCGCATGTACATGAAGCTGATAATTCCCATGCCCGACCGAACCATTTTCGGAGGTCATTATCAAAAAAACAAGAGCACCGCACTTTGAGTGCAGACAGGATGATCCACCGGCATCAGAGCCAGGGTGTCATCCTCCAGGCAAGAAACAATGGGTATATAATGTCAAAAGAAATAAGAAAATAAAAGAATAATGCGAATCTGGCGTTCACCTGTCCATTAGACAGAGGGAACAGCACAGCCATAATGTTGAGAAATGGCAGCGCACAGCGCTGTCACGCCGGCAACTTGAAACACAACCGCTTAGCAGAACTCATAGAAAGCCTAGCTCTCAAGAGAGGTTCTTGGAGTTCTCGGCCTCCTCGTGGAGCTCCTTGCCATCGCTGGAGGTGCTGCGAGGGGAGCCCTTCTCACCGGCGTTCTCCATATCGCCCTGGCGACGGCTAGACTCGAAGCCATACTCAGCAGCCTTGGCCTCAATCTCCTCGTCAGTGAGCTTAGGCAGCTCTTTGGCAGCCTTGACATAGCTCATGTTCTCGCAGAAACCCTTGGCGAAGATGAGATCGATCTCCTCCAGACTACGACCGGCGGTCTCGGGGTAGAAGAGGATCATGGGGGGAATGAAGATGAAGTTCATCACGGCGAAGAACAGGTAGGTACCCCAGGAGATACTGTCAATCATCACCGGGGTGATCATAACGACGGTGAAGTTGAACAGCCAGTTCGAGCAGGTCGAGACGGCATTGGCCTTGGCACGAGTACGGAGAGGCGAGATCTCGGCGGGGTACAACCAGGGGAGAGGCAAGATCGAGGCACCGAAGAAGGACATATAGAGGAACAGACCGAAGACGGCGCCCTTAGAAGGTTCGGTCTTGTCGGGGATCAAACAACCGAAGACGATGATCATAGAAACCATCTGACCTGTCATACCACCAATGAAGAGCTTGCGGCGACCAATCCTCTCAATAAAGAACCAGGAGAAGGTGGCGAAGATAGCGTAGACAATCATGTTGATACCACCGATAAGCATGGACATGAAGTGATCCTGACCGAGAGACTTCTTCAGGAGGACAGGCAGGTAGTAAATCACAGCATTGCAACCAGACAGCTGCTGGGCGATTTGAGACGAAGAACCGATAAGCATGCGGCGCAGGTGCTGGGTCTTTCCACCAGTGAGGAGATCAGAGTAACCAGCACCGGCAGCAACACCAGCAGCCTCGATAGACTCGATGACAAGCTGCTTCTGGATCTGGGTCTCGTGGGAGTCGATTTCGTACCCACCGAGAGCAGCGAGCACATACTCACCCTCGTGCACCTTACCCTTGGAGATGAGGTAGCGAGGCGAGTCGGGCATATAGTACATGCCAACGACGATGACAATACCGAAGAAAATCTGGAAGCCAATGGGGAAACGCCAGACGAGGTCATCGGGGCCGTAGGAGGCACCGAAGTCAATCCAGTAGGCGATCATTGTACCAATGGCGATGATACCACCCTCGATACAGATGAGAAGACCACGGTTGGAGGAACGCGAGCACTCGGCCTGGTAGGTAGGGATAGTCGAAGTGTTCATTCCGTTTCCGATACCAGTGATGATACGGCCGACGAAGAACTGTGCGGTAGCTCCATGGCCCTTGATGGCACAGATCTGAATAACAACACCAATAATCATAACCCAAGCACCGTGGATAATCATGAGACGACGACCAAGCTTGTCACCAGCGAACAAGGCGTACATGGCACCAGCGAGACAACCCAACTCGTACACGGCAGTCACCAAGGCCTGCATGGTGGAGTCGCCATGGGTGATAGGCATGAACCTGCCGAAGGCATCGGAATCAATAATGCCGGACATGACACCCTCTGTGAAGTGTTAGCAACGTTGGATTTGTATAATAATAATTCAATGTATACTCACGGTCGTAACCGAAAAGGAGAAAGCCCATAGTAGCGATGGTCGACACCGTCAAACCCAGGGGCTTGCCAGACATGCCAGCATATTTCGGCGACATGATGAAGAATAGAATGAGATAACAATATAATCAATCTATACAAGTCCAATGGATGAAGGACTAGTCCCAGTGTAAACACGTGGGTATGAGCGGAATGAGTGGAATGACTGGAGATATAGAGACACGCGGAGAAAAGAAGAACCCCGGGGGGGGAGGAAATAGGGAGATATTTGAATGTCTGCTTCTCCAACGGAGTTTGACGAAAGTGGCAAGGAGATTCATCGTGGGGCATATAATATTTTTCCCCCGTGTCTACGGAATACTCCATACGAGTTGAGCCCGAGGCCTTCGGGAGAAAATAAATAAAAGAATGCAAAATAACAAAAAGCCACTACCGCAGTTGTTGTGGTTCAACGAATCATAGTTGTCAAGTAGTGGAGCCTATTAGCCGGATGCATCAATAATGGCGTGTTAAGCATTTTTTTTAAGACCCACTCGGTAGTTTGCGTCCCTGATGACATCAGATATGAAATTTCTTATTATTTATTTATTAGTTTGACTTATTTTTTTGATGGTAATGATTCTCATCGTCATTGGCCTTCTAAAAAGAGGGTGGAGATACGCTGGTCCTTCGGTGTACTTGGATCCGCACCGACTGACCAAACATAAAATCTCACAACGTGAATTCTGGGTCATGTTAAAATGGACTGTGCCTGGTACGTCTATTCTTCGGGTGAGATAATGGAAAGCGAGATTGCCCCGGAGCGGTAAGGGAGAATGACAAGCCCTACCAATAATAGGCTGGAACCGTTGAGGAAGGCTTGCCGATATCAAATAGTGCGGGATTGCGCATGCACACGGGAATATGGTAAGTGCGACTACTAGGGTCCCTACAGTTTACCTACAACATAGACGTTGTACTCGATCTTAATGCGACTCGAAGTCCAAGCGCCAAGCCACTCCCGTCCTTCTCGGCGCTGGTTGCAAAACGGGACTCGGGAAGCCGTCTCCATCCCGAAGAAGGTCGGCGAGAAATGCTCACGGGTGCCGTGAAAGGACTAGCGCCACACTAAAATGATCGGACAGGGATCATCATACTGGCTTACTCGATAAAGAATGTGCACCTGGGCACAACTCATCCTCCTTGCTTTAAAACTATTGAGATCTTTTAATATTATCCTTTGTATGCAATGTTTTTCTTTCTCCCTTCTTTGGGGATTCCTATCTAGGCTATAGGTAATACAACATAAGGCTGCAGATGTTGTACAATGTTGTACTCGGATCCGAAGACAATATGTGGAATAACACAATTTACGGAATTATGCGAGCCAAGAGCCAAGGCGCCTAGGGCCTGTGAGGCTTTTTTTTTCTCGACCGTTGCTTCTTTTCAGCCTGAAGTAAAAGGATGACACATGAATTGTATGAAAACTTATAAATATTTTCATTTTTTCTTTCAACCATTCAAATGACGACCCACGTCATGTCTCAAAGAAATGGTGGATATTCCATCAAATCCCCTCAAAGAGTACCTCGGCGGAAAAGTGTCGCCTACATAGTATCCGCAATGATGTCGTTGAACCACTTCCCGGCGTATTCGAAGTTTTCTCGAACTGCAACTAAGTGGATACGGGCGCAACAGAAAGGCAACCGCAAAATGAAAATAAACCGAATTTACATGACATGGTTGGAGGGTCATTCTTTTTCCCTCGTATGTCAATGCACTGGACTCAAATTGGAAGAACTCTTTACCCTTGGAGCGTACGATGGTAGCAACTAGTTCTCTTCATGGCAGGTCCGCGTGTCCACGTCCACAAATTCAGGGGATTAGGAGGTTCAGGAGACTACATGGATCGATGGGTCTCCTTCGGCTAACAATGCATCTTGGGGAACCGCCTTCCTGTCTCGTACTTTGCACTTTGTAGCTCCATCTTTATCTCCATCACAGTCCATCGAGACCCCAACAGACCTCGCCCGATGAGGGGTTGATTGGGCAATAGAAAAGGCGAGCATCAGACGATGTCACAGTGCATATATATGAGAACAGAGCACATTGTAAAGATAGACCCCGCTTCCTAGGGGATTTGAGTCGCCAGTTCAGAGCCTCTGATGGGCTGTCCGCGTAGCCGACCTGTGGATGAATCCTCCGCGGTTGAATTGATTTTAATCATTGCCATATATTTTTAAAGATTGGTGATCCAAACAATACCCATCTATGAGTCCGACAATACCGTTTGATTGAACTACATGCATTGGTGGCGACCGCTTTGCGCCCCGGTTCGGTCTACCTACACTTCCATGGACGGATTGAAAGATTTTGCGCCGCATACACATGGTACAACTCGTGGACAGTGCACTTGGCCGATACCCTTCCCCGTACAACGTCAGCGGCGGCCACGAGGCAACAAGGGCCACCACCGTGGCGGAAGATGGAGAAATGGCGGAGGTGTGGGAGGGTGGAGAATATTCGGAGGTGCCGGCAATGCCAGGGAGGCGCGAGGAATGACCGAAAGAGCCCGATGATAGCATCTGCATCGATGCCGATAACAAAGTGACCTGTGCGCATCACGGGCGTTGCCAACTTGACCGGCCTCTTTTTGGCGGTCTCTTTGAACTTTGAGCTAAAAACCAGGTTTTGAAGAAGCTTTCTATGCGATCGACGGTGGCGCTGTCAGCCAAGACGAGGTAGGATCGTTCTTTGTCCGTCCACTGATCTCCACTACTTTATACAACATAATGTCAACGATACTTTCCAATTGCCGGTGTTTTGATGGTGATAAAAGCCTTACAAACTGTACTTCAACACAATTGCGTTATGATATGGTGTGCTTTGTGTACATATGTACTCTGATGACGTGTGACACGTGACATGGTCATGTGATATAGTCATGTGATATAGTCATGTGCTGCCTCAGGCCACTCGCTATTCTTTCCCCAAAACTGTCCCCGACATTCCAATGAGGGAATGTAGGGCTGTCAACAGCGATTCTGCAGGTAAGGCTGTTCCTTTTCTGAATGCAGCATCTGGCACAACAAAAAGAGCATTGGGAAACAGTGTGAAGGGAACATCCGGGCATGTATAATGCGTTCCTTACTACTGGCTGAATACAAGATAGAGAACGTGACCTAGTCCGAGGCTCCCACGGCGATCTCAACCCCCAATCTCTTAGATCCTTTAGATTTTGGGCGTGATCTCAAGAATATAACATCCAATTAATATACGGACTTAAGGAGCAATTGAGGTCTCATCCGACGAGACGACTCTCATCCGAGTCGGCCGAGAAGCTCCCCGCAACTTTCTCCCCCGGACTCATTTATCCCGAGGTTCCACTAGGTCTTTTTCCCTTTAATTACCTCCTCTCTTCTACTCTTCTACAAACTACACTTTCATATCCTTTTCAACATGAGTGTAGGCAAGCTCACCGGCGCAGATGTCGCCAAGCACAATTCCAAAGACTCATGCTGGGTCATCGTGCACGGCAAAGCCTACGACGTAACCGAATTCCTCCCGGGTATGTGTTTCTGTACTGCAGTTCTCTCCTCGAATGTGCGCTAACATTTCTCAGAACACCCCGGTGGTCAGAAGATTATCCTCAAGTATGCAGGCAAAGATGCGACCGAAGAGTTCGAACCAATCCACCCACCCGACACCCTAGACAAGTTCCTAGACCAGTCGAAACACTTGGGAACAGTAGACATGGCAACCGTGGAGCAGGAAGAAAAGGCCTTCGACCCGGAGGAGGCCGACCGCCAAGAGCGCATTTCCCGCATGCCCTCCCTCGAAGCATGCTACAACCTGATGGACTTTGAGACGGTGGCCCGCCAAGTCATGAAGAAGACGGCGTGGGCATACTACTCCAGTGGAGCAGATGATGAAATTGTAAGCTACCATGATATCAATATCGATACCCCCAGTCATCGAATCCCCCAATGCTAACCTATAACCAGACGATGCGCGAGAACCACGCAGCCTTCCACAAAATCTGGTTCAGGCCACGAATTTTAGTCGATGTCGAGCACATCGACATGAGCACAACAATGCTGGGCACAAAATGCTCAATCCCATTCTACGTGACCGCCACAGCACTCGGCAAACTAGGCCATCCAGAAGGCGAAGTGGTGCTCACAAAAGCCGCCCACCGACACAACGTAGTACAAATGATCCCCACGCTAGCCTCATGCTCCTTCGACGAAATCCTCGACGCCAAACAAGGCGACCAAGTGCAATGGCTCCAGCTATACGTCAATAAAGACCGCGAAATCACGCGCAAGATCGTCGAGCACGCCGAAAAGCGCGGCTGCAAGGGCCTCTTCATCACCGTCGACGCGCCCCAGCTCGGCCGCCGCGAGAAAGATATGCGTTCCAAGTTCTCCGATCCCGGCTCGAACGTCCAGTCCGGTGGCGATAACATCGACCGCACCCAGGGCGCCGCACGCGCCATTTCCTCCTTCATCGACCCTGCTCTCTCGTGGAAGGACATCCCCTGGTTCAAGTCCATCACAAACATGCCAATCGTGCTGAAGGGCGTGCAGTGCGTTGAGGACGTCCTGCGCGCTGTCGAGGCAGGCTGCGACGGCGTCGTGCTCTCCAACCACGGCGGACGGCAGCTCGAGACCGCGCGGTCCGGCATCGAGGTGTTGGCCGAGGTGATGCCTGCGCTCCGTGAGCGCGGCTGGGAAAAGCGCATTGAAGTCTTCGTTGACGGCGGTGTGCGTCGCGCAACTGATATCATCAAGGCGCTATGTCTGGGCGCGACTGGTATCGGTATTGGGCGGCCGTTCCTGTATGCCATGTCTGCTTATGGGCTTGATGGCGTGGACCGGGCTATGCAGCTGCTGAAGGATGAGATGGAGATGAACATGCGGTTGATTGGAGCTCCGAGTGTGGCGGATCTCAATCCTAGTCTGCTTGATACCCGTGGGTTGTTGGGTGGGCACTCTGGGGCTGTACCGTCTGATACCCTTGGCCTTGGTGCTTATGATCCATTGGTGGCGCCGAGGTTTAATGAGAAGCCGAAGCTGTAGTTTTCTTTGCCACATTAGTGGTTCGTTTTTGTTCTTGTTGATGCTTGCTGAGTTGTTCACCTCGGTCTGCAGGATGGTATCGTCTGGACATGTAACCATTGAGTTCATATATATCTCTATACCCATGCAATTCATAAATTATTCATCTTGGAGAAAGGTACTTGTGTATATCTTTTTGGTTGTAGAATCTTAATGACTGATGCCAAGATCATGGAGGAGGCACTGACCATACACGAATGAGAAGCATGGTGATTCCAATCTTATACTACCATATGTGCCATCGAAAGTAAATAGATATACATATATTTCCGTCCACACCTGTGTTCGATTTATTGATTTCTTTTCTTTTCCGTATGTGTACACCTTAATAGCCATTATAGTGTAATTGCCTCTCTAACATTATCCAAGTACTTCGACGTTTGAAGCTCAATGAGGTTCTGTTACTTCAGAACTCAGCCAATCTCATGCGGCGTTAGGTTATTATTGCTACCAGGATTAGAACCGCCAACATATATATTATACAGATTATTATTTTTGTAATGTGAGATAAGGTGGACGTTGAGAACCAACCTTGGATTTGCTCAGGCTGGGATCAAAAGATGTGAATAACCGAAAACGACGAGACGCCATTTCTGGCGTAGTAAACCGCTCAGCTTGTATGTACAGCTGCAGTTCACCAAGCGCAAGCCAATTAAACATGCATGGTATTATGAACAGGAAGCAAAAAGCGAACGCTATGCGTACCGGTGAAAGGTCACAGGTAAAAAACTCTCGGCGGGTTACCCAGCCGGCCAGTATCGCGATACATGCAAGCAGCGTTGACCATCCACCCACCATTAAGGTTCTCCCCACCCCAGATATGAGCCCAGACCACACCTAGGATCCCGTATCCCACGACCCGTGCGGCATCCATCCAGGCAGAGAGATCGAACATATCGCGCAGGAAGCCGGCCAGCGAAGCAAGGCGGCTAAAACCCGCTCGTGAGCGGCGCGAGGCACACAATCTTTCCCAGGCGCGCTGGGCCTCATCCCAGAAGATGGGTTCCTGGCC